GAGTGGTGGTTACACTGCAGTCATTAGGAACAGTATTTCTGATATTATGGCAGCACAAACCTGACTTCACAGTCTTGGTGAATTCGAATTTGGATTTGGGGAGAGGTTTGGTTGTTGCAGTTGGGACCCTGGAACTTCTACAATCACAGCTCAGAATTGAGGAACTCTTCCCAGAATTTAAATTTATTCTGGGGCCTGGGCACCTCTCCCACTCTGGGTGAGAAGTGTTTCTTCCCTTGGGATTTGCAGCTTCACATTCAGGTATCTGAACTCCACCTCAGCTTCTTTCCTTTACCCTGCAGTTCAGAATGGAAAAAGAAATCTGACAGGCAAGAGGCTGGATTTATTTGTTGGTACATTTATTAGTAATTAACAGACAGGAAAGGAAATCATCAGACAAGGATGGGATTTAGCAGCACACAAACATATGTTCCCTTTTTCACTCATCAAACAAATATGACAGAAAAGGCCACTTTGGTCTGCTACAGCTGAAGTTCCCACAGTTCATCTGTAAATCCCTGAATTCCACAGCTGTTCTGATTTCTGGTGTGAAGTGTCTTTGCAGAACAGAGCACACAGTGAATGTTAAATCACAAATCATTTTTCCACAGGAATAGTTCCCATGGAAATTCTCTGTAGTGTGTACATTGTGTGTGTGTAGCTTCCCTGAAATGCACAAATGCTCAGTATCCTGATCCTCCCTGAGCTGCAGGGTTCAGTTAATGGTGTTTTAACCACACTGAACCTTAACCCCTGAGGTGGAGCCATCCCCTTGTTTCCCATCGCTACTCCAGCGGGCTGTGGCTCCCAGGCAGGCTCTCCTGCTCCTGCTCCTGCTCAGCCAAGGGCACGACGTAGACATCGCTGTGAGCCAGCTGCTGCTGCAGCCGCAGGTAGCGGGCGGCGTCCCGGCTGCGGGCCAGCAGGAAGCGCTCCGTGAACTCCGCCTTGCTCAGGGCGGGCCCGCCCCGGCCCTGCCGCACGCGGTTGATGAACGCCAAGGCGAAGGTGAAACAGTTGTGCTGCTGCTCCTCGTACCTGGGGAAACACCTCCTCACTGAGCGGGGCGGTGTCATTGTCAAACACCTCCTCACTGAGCGGGGCGGTGTCACTGACCAAACACCCCTCAGCAGGCAGTGTCAGTGACCAAACACCCCTCAGCAGGCAGTGTCAGTGACCAAACACCCCTCAGCAGGGCACTGCCATTGTCAAACCCCCCTCAGCAGGGCACTGCCATCACCAAACCCCCCTCAGCAGGGCACTGCCATTGTCAAACCCCCCTCAGCAGGGCACTGCCAGTGTCAAACCCCCCTCAGCAGGGCACTGCCAGTGTCAAACCCCCCTCAGCAGGGCACTGCCAGTGTCAAACCCCCCTCAGCAGGGCACTGCCAGTGTCAAACCCCCCTCAGCAGGGCACTGCCATCACCTGACACCCCTCAGCAGGGCACTGCCAGTGTCAAACCCCCCTCAGCAGGGCACTGCCATCACCAGACACCCCTCAGCAGGGCACTGCCATCACCTGACACCCCTCAGCAGGGCACTGGCACCCACCACCATTCCTGGGCAGTGTTTACTCCAGGAATACTCTCCAGTTACTCGCCCTCCCTGCCAGTGCTTCCATATATTCCTCACAAGTGGCACCTCCCAGCCTGAACTCTGTAAAAATGAGAGCTGCAAGGCTTGACAAAAAGCAGTTCTTATTTTTTGTACTTCTTTGTCTTTTACCTCGTTAAGCTTTGCTCTTCCAGCTCTTGTGAGCAGCCCTTTCCTGCAGCCCCAGAGTTAATTGTGTGTGTGCCACCACGGGGGAGTGGGAGCTCGTTTCAAATCCTATCTGTGATTTCTCTACCACCCTGCAGTAAGTGAAAAGCTCTCAAGAAAACTAGATTAGGTTTGGCCTGAACCCAAAGGAGTTACAGGATTAGCTCAGTGCAGTTCCTGTCCACTGAAAAAATAAGCAGAGGATTTCATTAAAGTTGTTTTCAGTTCAGTGGTCACTGGTGTGGCTGTGGAAAATGGTCACTGTGTCAGAAAAACCAGGGAAAGCCAGGAGAAGGGATGCACACATCTCTGCCCTTCTGCCAGTGATCTTTGGATGTCAAGGCACTTTTAATATTACTGGGAACTGTAAAAGTGACAAGTTCTGTTGGTTTTACCAGCTCTGTAAATATTAGAAAATTTGATTTCAAATAGAAATTTTATCTTCTTTAGGGGGGTAATGTTTGATCCTCAAAATTTTATAGTCAGCACATGGAAAATTGCTAAAAAATGCTTTTGATTTGATGGGTTTTTTCCTTTTATGGTTGCATTCATTCAGTGGCACCCAGACAGGCTGTGAGTGTCACAGCTGCTGTCACTGAGGGACAGTTCCAGGAGTGCTGCTTTCCTGGAGAGCTGCTCTGTCACCAGCAGAGCAGGAATCAGCCTGCTTTCCATTTCTCACCACTTACAGCAAAAACAACAACAGGGCAAGAATCCCATCGCTGTGCTCAGCCTTTAAATGCAAATACACCTCAAACTGCTAGAAAAAGAATTATGGACTTGTGCCTGGACTTTTGTACTCAGCAGCATGCAGGTAATGGTTCATTGAACTGGAGCTTTAATGCAAAATTCCCTAAAGCCACCTCTTGCTTTAAGGCTTTTATGTTCCAGCAGCTGAGTTTTACTTAAAATTCAGAACGTTCTGTGCAGCCAGGCCAGGCCAGGCTGCCAGGAATGGTGTCCTGAGTGACCCCAGAGCCCATCCCAAACTCACCCCAGCTGTTACACACACCTGTGAGGGAGCCAGGCCTGTTCCAGGGAGAATTCCTCCAGGAGGCTGTCCCAGTGCTGCAGGAGCTCCCACATGTCTGGCTGCACCAGGGGGATGCTGATGCACTGCTCCCAGCCCCTGCCATCCCTGTGCACGCCCTCCTGGTCGTAGTTGTACACCACACCTGCAAACACACACACACACAGAGCCCTTCTGGGCCTTTCTTCTGACCCAGCTTCCCACCAGCTGAGCAGGAAATGCAGTCCTGGCTTCCAGCAAAAACCTGCTCTCATTCTCACAGCCTGGTTTGAAAAAAGGCTTGGCTTGTTTAATAATCAGAGCAACAACCAGGCTTCATTTTTGACCCCCAAAGGAGACTGGCTTTGTATGAAATACACATCTGAAATGATGGGTGGGCCTACTCTAGGTAGAATCCAATAGGATTTCTAATGGGGCTTTTAAAAATGATTTTTAATTACGGGTGTTTTAGAATTAGCAAAAACTGTGTTAAACTCAATTGAACTGTAATTCCCTTAAAGCAAGCCCAGCCTTTCATCCCTGGGGTGGAAGGCACCTGTCTATTCCATTCAGTGCCTGTTTCATCCACTCAGGGGAATGGCTCTGCTCTGGAGCTGTGCTGCAAGGTGAGGCCATTCCCAGTGAGCGCATCCCGGCCATTCCGAGCAGGAACGCCCAGAACAGCAGGGGTGGCAGCTGGGGTGGCTCCTGAGGGGGCACGGCGGGCGCTGCTCACCCTGGGAGCTGCTGATGCCCACGTGCAGGTCGCAGTGCCCGTCGTAGCCGCTGCGGGAGGAGCAGAGCGGCTCTGAGGGACAGCGGGGGCCGCTACAGCCCGGCAGAGCTGCCCGACACCTGCCGGGGGACAGCCGGCCTTCCCTGGGGCCTGAGCCCCGGCCCGTCTGCTCCCTTCCCTTCCCTTCCTTCCCTTCCTTTTCCCTTCCCTTCCCCTTCCCTTGTCTTCCCATTTCGTTTCCTTCCCCCTTCGTTTTCCATTCCTTTTTCCCTTCCCTTTCCCCACCCATTCCCTTTCCCAGGCCTTTTCCCTCCCCGTTCCCTCAGTGCCCGCCCCTTTCCCCTCCCATTCCCCATTCCCCTCCCTCTTCCCCTTCCATTCCATTCCCCGTTCCCTCAGTGCCCGCCCTTTTCCCAAACCTTTTCCCTCCCCTTTCCTTCCCCATTTCCCTCTCAGTGCCCGCCCTATTCCCATTCCCCGTTCCCACTCCCACGTCCTGCCCCATCCCCTCCCCATTCCCATTCCTCTGTCCCGCCCCGTTCCCTCTCCATTCCCATTCCCCATGTCCGTCCCCGTTCCTTCCCCATTCCCTATTCCCATTCCCCATCCTTATTCCCATTCCCCCGCCCCGCCCCGTTCTCTCCCCATTTCCCTCTCTCCCACTCCCCCGTCCCGTCCCGTTCCCTCGCCATTCCCGTCCCCTCCCCATTCCCATTCCTCTGTCCCGCCCCATTCTCATTCCCCATTCCCATTCCCTGTCCTGCCTCGTGCCCATTCCCACTCCCCTGTCCCTCCCCGTTCCCATCCCCGTTCCCACTCCCCTGTCCCGCCCCATTCTCCATTCCCCATTCTCATTCCCCATTCCCGGTCCCGCCCCGTTCCCATTCCCGTTCCCCTCCCCTGTCCCGCCCCGTTCCCCTCCCCTGTCCCTCCCCGTTCCCCTCCCCGTTCCCCTCCCCTGTCCCGCCCCATTCTCATTCCCCATTCCCATTCCCATTCCCTGTCCCGCCCCGTTCCCGTTCCCATCCCCGTTCCCCTCCCCTGTCCCGCCCCATTCTCATTCCCCATTCCCATTCCCTGTCCCGCCCCGTTCCCGTTCCCATTCCCGTTCCCCTCCCCTGTCCCGCCCCATTCCCCATTCTCATTCCCCATTCGCGGTCTCGCCCCGTTCCCGCCCTTTCCCCTCCCCGTCCCGCCGCGCTCCCGCAGCGCCCCCTGGCGGTTACTCCAGGAAGGTGCCGCGGGTGGGCCTGACGAGGAAGGCGCGGGGCTGCCGGTGGCCGTGCCGGAAGGGGCTGTCCAGGCGCACAGGCGCGGCGGCCAGCCCGGCTCCGCGCAGGTCCCCTCCGCACGCGGGGCAGCGCGGCGGCGCGCGCCGGCAGTACAGGAGCGCGCGGCAATGGCGCACGCGCAGCACCGCCATGGCCCGGCGCGTCGGCCAAAACCGTCCGGCCGGAAACGCGGCCGCGGGGCGGGGCGGGGCCGCGGCCACGCCTCCCGTGCCGCGGAACCTCCGTGCGCGGCGTGAGGAGCCGGGCGGGTTGGACAGTGCGGCGGCACGATGAGCACGAAGCAGGTGACGTGCAGGTGAGCGCGGCCCGGCCGGGCCAGAGCCCCCAGAGCCCTCACGGCCCTCAGAGCTCTCACAGCCCGCACGGCCCCCACAGCCCTCAGGGCCCGCACAGCTCTGACGGCCCTGAGAGCCCGCGCAGCCCTCACGGCCCTCGGGCTCCCCGCCTCCGTCCCTGCCCCGCGCCTTCCCAGCGCCTCGTTCCGCTCTCACGCCCCCCACGCTCCGGCCGGGCCCGGAGCCCTCACACCCCTCAAACACCGCCCCGGCCCCTGCCCCGCTCCTCACAGCCCTTCGCTCCGCTCTCCCCCGTCGAAGCCGGCCCGTGCCGAGCTGGGGGTCGTGGCTGCCCCCTTGTCCCCTCCTTGTCCCCAGCCCTGCGCTGCCCCTGAGGCTGCCCGGGGTCCCGGCCCGCGGGGTGCCCGGGGAACAGGCGGGGTCAGCAGGGAAGACTTCTCCAGGGCGCCTCGGGGAGTTTTGTTCATGAAGCGGCTCTGGGGTCCCGAGGGGCCGCCGGGCAGTGCCCATCCCTGGCGGTGGCCGTGGGCCGCTCTGCTCGGGGGCGCGCTGGGCACAGACCGGACACAGCTCGGGCTCGAGGGCTGGGAGGGCTTTGCCAGCCCCGCTGCTTCTGTACAAACAAACAAACCACAGCAAAGCCAAGCGTGGCGGCAGCGCCCGCCCTGAGTGAGCCGCGTCTCTCTCTCCGCAGGTATTTCTTGCAGGGCGTGTGTCGGGAGGGCAGCAAGTGCCTGTTCTCCCATGACCTGGCCACCAGCAAATCCTCCACCATCTGCAAGTACTACCAGAAGGGGCAGTGTGCCTACGGCTCCCGCTGCAGGTGAGCACCGTGCCTGGGCACCGCGGGGGCTCCTGGGCAGGCACAGAGCACCTGGGCAAGGAAATAATTTCTTAAATGTGAGTTTTGCCCGAGCCTAAAGCAGCTTTCACCTGCAGCGGTGCAGTTCTGCTCCGGCTCAGTGTCAGGGGTTGTTTTGCTCTGTAGGAATGGAGCTTTGGGATTCAGGTGTGTTTCCCACCCTGTTCTTCAGTCAGAGCTGCAGGTGGAAGCTCCTGGTGCAGCTCCCTCCTGCTCATCCCAGAGCTCAGTTTTAGTTCTGGGGACTTTCAGCTCTGCCTCGGGGCAGTGCCCTGCTCGTGTCCCCTGGGCTGGGGCAGGGCTGAGCAGTTCCACAGCTCTCCCTGCAGTCTGCAGGTTAAACTTCCCAGGGGAATGGCCTGGGGAGAACCAGGCATGGATTAATTCCCTGCCAGCTGAGGCTCCTGCAGCTCCCCTCAGCTCCCAGCCTTGCCTGGTCCATGTGCCAGACTCCATCAGTGCTGCCCTGGAGCTGCTGTGGCTGCCTGGGCTCCTGCAGGGCTCAGGGAGGGCCTGGCTGTGCTTCTCCTGCCACTGGGATGTGTGTCCAGCTCCAGACACAGCTGGGGAATGTTTCTGTTCCCTGAAAATATTGCAGATTTGGCTGTGTCCATGGAGCAGCCCCTTCAGTCCCCTGGCTGCTGCTGCAGTGTGTCCCCAGTTCTGCTGGAATATGTCCCCAGTTTCCCTGGAGTCCCCCCGGTTTCCCCCGGGCTGTGTCCCCCCGGTTTCCCCCCGGGCTGTGTCCCCCCGGTTTCCCCCCGGGCTGTGTCCCCCCGGTTTCCCCCCGGGCTGTGTCCCCCCGGTTTCCCCCCGGGCTGTGTCCCCCCGGTTTCCCCCCGGGCTGTGTCCCCCCGGTTTCCCCCCGGGCTGTGTCCCCCCGGTTTCCCCCCGGGCTGTGTCCCCCCGGTTTCCCCCCGGGCTGTGTCCCCCCGGTTTCCCCCCGGGCTGTGTCCCCCCGGTTTCCCCTGGGCTGTGTCCCCCCGGTTCCCCTGGGCTGTGTCCCCTCGGTCTGTCCGGGATCCTGTCCCCCCGGGTCAGCTGTGGGTTGGGTGTCCCGGTGCCGGTTCCCGATGCCGTTTCCGTGCCGCAGGTATGACCACGTGAGGCTCCCTCCGGGCGGAGCCGCGGCCCCGCCGCCCCCCGCGGCCCCGGGCAGCCCCCGGGCGCCCCCCGAGCCCGGCCCCGGCGCCCCGCGCAGCAGGAGGGAGAAGAGGACGCTGGTGCTGCGGGACAGGAGTGAGTGGGAGCTGCTCTGCCAGCCCAGGGAGGGAGGGAGGTGCTGTCCCCGGTGCTTATCGGAGTTCCAAGGCCAGCCTGAGCTGTCCCTGGAGCCTCCCTCCGTGAGGTGACAGCTCGGGGCAGGGAGGGCAGTGTTCTGTGTGGGGGATGTCAGGCTCTGCTCCCGGAGCTCTGTGAGCCCTCGAGCCTGGGGAGCTCCAGGCTGGACATTGGAAAGAGTTTTTTCATGGAAGGGTGGGTCAGGGATTGGGAGGGAGTCCTCATTCCTGGAGGTGTCCAGGTGTCCACTTCAGTCAGGGGGCTTCAGTAAGAGCTGATGTATCCTTTCTCTAGAGTTTAGTATATTATTTCTTTTAATATAATATCGTAAAATAACAAATTAGCCTTCTGAGAGCATGGAGTCACATTCTCACCTCAGACACGCCCAGGGCTGGGCTGGGAGAGCTGCCTGCAGGAGCAGCAGGGTGCCCTGGCTGTCCCTTGCTGCACTTCCCTCCATCCCACAGCCCTGCATGGCAGCTCTGGCCACTCAGCCCTCTCTGCTCCTGTGCTCAGTGGGCACAGTGGGCTCTGGAGCAGCTGGCACCTGGCAGAGCTCTGCCCCTTGTGGAAATGCTTCATTTCCTGCTGACACTGGAGTGCTCCCATTGCCAGTGTCCTGGTGTCCCCAGTGTCCTGGTGTCCCCAGTGTCCTGGTGTCCCCAGTGTCCTGGTGTCCCAGTGCTGAGCAGCAGACACAGAATCTTTACAGCAGGCATGGCATGAGCTGATGGAGCAGCTGTTATCCCTGCAGTGCCCACTGCAGTGAGGGGCTTCTGCAAGAACTGCCATGTTTTCCTATGGATGTGCTCAATGATGGGATTTCTCCCTCAGTTCCAGCTTGCTCCAGGTCATTGTCCCACTAACCACACTTTACCTGCCTCAGTGAGTGCCTTTATCTTCTAGCTTCACAAAACATGGGTTCCAAACATGTTCCCCCTCAGAGAGAATTCAAAACATCCAATCAGGGAAGTTTCCTTCTTTGAGCATCTCCCAAGTTACAAACAGGCTCAAGGAAAGGTGGGGAATATTTTCAGGCTCTACAAAACAGACTTTTCTGCACAACTTTCACTGCAAATGTCATTGAAGGGACCATCAGCTCCCTGTATTTCAAAGGGCTGAGACATCTTAATTTGTGTTTTTGGCTTCCTGCTGCACTCCCAGGACAGAGTTTGTCTCTGCCCATGGGAGGAATGTGCAAACTTTTGCTCAAGTGCAGAAACCAACACAAGCCCTGGGTGTCCTGAACTGAGTAATTGCAAGTGGAACTGCCCCAAAGTTCAGCGAGGTGTCTGTGGCTGCCTGAGGTGACAGATGCCCTTCTCTGGGGAGGATCCTCACTGCTGGGGCTCACTGAGGAGGGTCCCAGTGTGGGCAGGGCTGTGTCCAGGGCTGTCCCGGGCTGCTTGGTCACACCTGATGCTCCCGGAGGTTTTGTGCAGCGCTGGTGTGTCTGTGGTTTCCAGCGGGTTTGTGCAGAGCACAGCTGCACAGACCTTGCCCTGCTCAGCCGGCAGCCTGGGAGCCCCGCCGTGCAGAGCCCGCCCGGGGAGGGAGCGCTGGCCCCGGCGGGTTAACCCTGAGCTCGCTGTGCTTGTCCCGCAGAGCTGTGCGGCTCCAGCCGGGAGCAGGCGGCGCCCGGGGCCGTGCCGGGCTGCCCCGAGCCCGCCGATGCCGATGCCGAGGAGGCCAAGCCGCACTCGTACCTCGAGGCCATCTGCAGCGGCCTGGAGGAGGCGGCGCCCGCCGGCTCCCCCTGCAGCCCGGCCCAGCAGCTGTGTCCCTACGCCGCCGCCGGCGCCTGCCACTTCGGGGAGCGCTGCCTCTACCTGCACGGGCAGCTCTGCGAGATCTGCGGCCTCCAGGTGCTGCACCCCTTCGACCAGGAGCAGAGGAAAGCCCACGAGATGGTAAAGGGGGAGCTGGGGCAGCTCAGGGCAGGGCTGGGGCTGGCTGCTCTCAACCTTGGAGTGAGTACAGCATTAGGAAGAACAGCAGGGAGGTGGAAAGTGTTGTAATGTAGGGGTCTAGGCCATATCTCATGTTGGAAATTGTAGCATTGTCTTGGTTTGGAAAGACAGGAGTCTGCTAAGGAAGGGAGGAGCCTTCCCTGAAATGGAGAATGTAAACTCTTAAACTCTCCAAATTGCTATAAATTTGAAATTAAGGGGCTCTCAGGCAAAAATATGGGAGCAGGAAATAACAGTTCTTTAATAGGGAAGAAAATAAAATAAAAGGATAAAATAAACAATGCAGCACACTAGAACAACACTGCCAGAGTCAGAACCCAGCCTGACACCCTGTGGGTCAGGGTGTTGGTAGCAGTCCCATTGAAATTGTGGCTCAGCCCTCCTGCAGTGTCAGGGGTGGCTCTGTTGGAGCAGGGGGTCCTGTAGAGAAGGATGGATTCTGCCTCTGAAGATCCAGGGGAAGGAGAGGCAGCTGCTGTTCCTCTGGGGAATCCAGTGCAGAAGCCGTGCTGGTGTCTCCAAACCTCAGGATTCTATCTGGGTAGGAATGCTTGGCTCCTCCCTCTGGGCTCACATCTCCCAATGGGATGTTACAGTTCTTATCAGCCATGCAGGGACATTCAGTAGCTGTTATGAGCAATGTCCCCTCCCAGGCAGGTGTGAATGAGGTCACTCCAAGAGAGAGATAAGGCAAACTGCCCACTTGGCAAAGGTAACCAGCCATAGAGATGGGAATGGAAAACATCCTGCATTGCAATCTTCAGCAGGGATAGATCATGACATGAGCAGTGCAATGGGGAAGGAGGTGAGGGAATAGGAGTCTCTTTTTAGGCTGATGGGGATTTGGAAGTTTATAATGAATTTTCATTCTCAGAAGGAGGTGAGGCTTTCTGTTCCAGAGTGGATGGAGATTGCTATTGGGATTAGGCTGATTAGGAAGGAGGTTTTGACTGTGTTTGTAATTGTGTTGGGGGTGTTCTTGAGGTTCTTGGATAGAAGAGGAAATGGGATCCAGAAGCCATTCCCACAGCCACAGCACTGCAGGCTGAGCTGGTGCCTCATGCAGAGCCTCCCACAGTCCTTCTCCTGGGAGGGCTGCTGGGGTGAAGAGTGTGAATGTGTTTAGGACTAGTGAGAGGTCCAGCTCAACATGGAGCTTCTCCCACAGAGCTCCTCCTGTACTGCTGCTCTGGAGAATGGTGCTGGGCCAGCTCAAGCCTCTGGAGCTGAGCTGGCTGCAGGCAGCAGCTTGTGGGTTTTGCCTGGGACTGCCCTGCTGCCTTCTCCCACTGCAGCTCTCCCAAGGGAAGGGCTGTGGGAGGCTCTGCCTGAGGCACCAGCTCACCCTGCAGTGCTGTGGCTGTGGGAATGGCTTCTGCATTGTCACTGCTGGGCTGAGAAGTGCTGGAGGAAAGCTGAAATAAGAGACTAATTCCTCACCTGGGTAAAAATTAGCATCTGGTGAATGAATGTGGCCTTAATTATAGTCAGAGCAGCACCTTGAGTGTGGCACCTATTCTGTGAGATGCTTTTGGGGGGTGTTTGAAGCTCCAAATAATTCAGTACCTGTTCTCTGACAGAGATGCAGAAAGGGGTGGGTGAAGCACCCTGGCATCTTTATCTGTGACAGCTGGGAGAGCACTGAAGGCTGAAATACATGATTGAATTTAATGTTCTTTAAATTAAACTGTGCCAGGGACAGCTAGGAGTGGTGCCCTCAGTGAGTGCCCCATGCTGTCCCAGAGGGGCTGGGTGTGCCAGGCTGGCAGTGGTGCCCTCAGTGAGTGCCCTCTGCTCTCCAGAGGGGCTGGGTGTGCCAGGCTGGCAGTGGTGCCCTCAGTGAGTGCCCCCTGCTCTCCAGAGGGGCTGGGTGTGCCAGGCTGGCAGTGGTGCCCTCAGTGAGTGCCCCATGCTGTCCCAGAGGGGCTGGGTGTGCCAGGCTGGCAGTGGTGCCCTCAGTGAGTGCCCCATGCTCTCCAGAGGGGCTGGGTGTGCCCTCTGTCCCTCACAGTGCCCTGTCCCCTGGCAGATGTGCATGGCAACCTTTGAGCACGACATGGAGAGGGCCTTTGCCATCCAGGCCAGCCAGGACAAGGTGTGCAGCATCTGCATGGAGGTGGTCTATGAGAAGGCCTCGGCCTCGGAGAGGAGGTTTGGGATCCTGTCCAACTGCACCCACACCTACTGCCTGTCCTGCATCCGCCAGTGGAGGTGTGCCAAGCAGTTTGAGAACCCCATCATCAAGTGAGTGCTGCACCTGCCTGGGGGCTGAGCTGCTCACACACGGGGGCTGGAGCTGCAGAGCTCAGCAGAGCCTGCCCCAGCTCTGCCAGGCCCAGGGCTGTCACCGTGGTGTTGGCTGCAAAGTCCCTGCACCAGGGATTCTTCTCCTGGCAAGCTGAGAGGCCTCAGAAAAGAATGCAAGCAATAATTATCTGATTGTTTGGGAATGTGGTCTGGGGATCATTTCCCAACAGGTGCATCTTTGGTGGGTTCCATGTGGATTGGTTTTAATTAATGACCAATCACAGCCAGCTGTGTGGGACTCCCTGAGGCAGTCAGGAGCTTTCATTATCATTCTTTTCCAGCCTTCTGAGGTATCCTTTCTCTAGAGTTTAGTATGGTTTTATAATATAATGTAATATCAGCCTTCTGAGAGCATGGAGTCACATTCTCACCTCAAACACGCCCAGGGCTGGGCTGGGAGAGCTGCCTGCAGGAGCAGCAGGGTGCCCTGGCTGTCCCTTGCTGCACTTCCCTCATCCCACAGCCCTGCATGGCAGCTCTGGCCACTCAGCCCTCTCTGCTCCTGTGCTCAGTGGGCACAGTGGGCTCTGGAGCAGCTGGCACCTGGCAGAGCTCTGCCCCTTGTGGAAATGCTTCATTTCCTGCTGACACTGGAGTGCTCCCATTGCCAGTGTCCTGGTGTCCCCAGTGTCCTGGTGTCCCCAGTGTCCTGGTGTCCCCAGTGTCCTGGTGTCCCAGTGCTGAGCAGCAGACACAGAATCTTTACAGCAGCCTGTGGCATGAGCTGATGGAGCAGCTGTTATCCCTGCAGTGCCCACTGCAGTGAGGGGCTTCTGCAAGAACTGCCATGTTTTCCTATGGATGTGCTCAATGCTGGGATTTCTCCCTCAGTTCCAGCTTGCTCCAGGTCATTGTCCCACTAACCACACTTTACCTGCCTCAGTGAGTGCCTTTATCTTCTAGCTCCACAAAACATGGGTTCCAAACATGTTCCCTCTCAGAGAGAATTTAAAACATCCAATCAGGGAAGTTTCCTTCTTTGAGCAACTCCCAAGTTACAAACAGACTCAAGGAAAGGTGGGGAATATTTTCAGGCTTCTACCAAAACAGACTTTTCTGCACAACTTTCACTGCAAATGTCATTGAAGGGACCATCAGCTCCTTGCACTTCAAAGGCTGAGACATCTTAATTTGTGTTTTTGGCTTCCTGCTGCACTCCCAGGACAGAGTTTGTCTCTGCCCATGGGAGGAATGTGCAAACTTTTGCTCAAGTGCAGAAACCAACACAAGCCCTGGGTGTCCTGAACTGAGTAATTGCAAGTGGAACTGCCCCAAAGCTCAGTGAGGTGTCTGTGGCTGCCTGAGGTGACAGATGCCCTTCTCTGGGGAGGATCCTCACTGCTGGGGCTCACTGAGGAGGGTCCCAGTGTGGGAGGCAGCAGAGCATCTCTGTTTGTGCTGTTCCTCCAGGTCCTGCCCCGAGTGCCGCGTCATCTCCGAGTTTGTCATCCCCAGCGTGTACTGGGTGGAAGAGCAGGAGAAGAAGAATGAGCTGATTGAAGCTTTCAAGCAGGGAGTGGGGTAAGTTCAGCAGCCACCCACACCCCTCACGTTGTTCTTTAGCTTCTCTAAGGCTCAGTCAATTGCTGAGCCTTTCTTTTTAAACTGAATGGAATTACAGACCCCTCTGCAGAGAGCTCCTCATCTCTGCTCACACTTTGCTTCACTCTGTGCCTGTGCAATTGTAGGTCAGACACTCACAATGTTGAAAATGCTCAGAAATGTTGAAGCTCCTTCAGCTCCCTTGCCAAAACTGCCTTTGTGTGGATCCCTCAGCCACCACTGCTGGTGCCTGAGGGAGGGAAAATGGAAGAACATTGCTGCTATCAGCTCAGTGGCTGTGGGCACTGGGCTGTACCTCCTGCCCTTCCAGCTGAAGGCAATAACCTCTCTCTTGTGATTCCTCAGGAAAAAGCCCTGCAAGTACTTTGAGCAAGGCAAAGGGACGTGTCCCTTTGGGGGCAAGTGTCTGTACCTGCACGCCTACCCCGACGGCACCCGCGCCGAGCCCGAGAAACCCAGGAAGCAGCTGAGCTCCGAGGGCACTGTCAGGGTAAGGAGAGCCCTGCAGCCCCTGCTGCTCCTGCAGCCCCTCCTGCAGCCCCTGCTGCTCCTGCTGCCCCCCTGCAGCCCCAGCTGTGCTGCTGCCAGTGCTTCCTGCCATGCAGGACAAGTACAAAAAGCCCCTCAGTGTTCTTGGGCAAGGGTTTGCCCTTGGAGACAGGGAGTGTCTCTCATTATGCCTGGATTTTACCAAATTTCTCCAGTTATGAGCCAAATGGGTATTTCTGACCAGTATAAACTGGCTCACAAACTGACTGATGTGGAGACATGGTACTGTATGAACTTTGGAGCAGAGTTTGTTAGTTGTGCATGATTCTTGCCTCAGGCAGAAGGGAGCTCACCCCTCAGGCTGTCTGAGGGGCTTTGTGCCATGCTGTCCAGTACTCTGGGGCTTGGCCAGAGTTATTGTCTTAAGCACAGCTGAAGTTGGGGAAGCTTTGGTTCATTTTCTTCTTAGTGTGCTGAAGACAGATAATAATCCTACTAAACTTTGGCTGCATCTGTAGAGAGCAAAGGAAGTGCTTCTGAATATGTTTGGTTTTGTGACCAGTCCAAAGCTTTCCTCACAGGGATTCTGCCCTTAAAGCTTTCACCCACAGTACTGACAGCTCCTCCTGTGCTGGCACTCAGGGCAGCTGAAAGGACAAAACCTCAGGAGGTGGTGCTGGCTGTGCCCCAGCTGTGTCCCCTCCCCTAGCACACTGAGCCTGGCTGTCACCAGAGCTCACAGCCACCTCTGGGGCTGGTCTGAATGGGGAGGTGCCAGCACAGGCCAGGGCTGTGGGGGTGTTCACAGGGGTCTTAGGATGAGAGAAGAGATGAGGATCTTGACTCCATGTTTCAGAAGGCTGATTTATTATTTTATGATATATTTTATATTAAAAGAAAATTAAATACTAAAACTATACTAAAAGAAGAAAGGATTTTATCAGAAGGCTAGCAAGGAGAGGAATGGAATGATAATAAAATCTTGTGTCTGCTCACAGCCTCGACACAGCTGGGGCTGTCATTGGGCATCAAGTAAAAACAATTTCACGTGCTGGGTAAACAATTCTCCAGATCACATTCCAAAGCAGCAAAACATGGAGAAGCTGAAGCTTCCCAGTGTCTCAGGAGGAAAGATCCTGGCAGAAGGATTTTTCCTCAGATGTGTCCGTGCCCCAGGGGTGCTCAGGCTGCTCTGTCTCTCCTGCAGTTCTTCAATTCCGTGCGCCTGTGGGATTTCATCGAGGACAGGGAGAGCCGCAGCGCGCCCGACGCCGAGGTGACGGAGCTGGGGGAGCTCTTCATGCACCTCTCTGGGGCTGAGGAGGAGCCCAGCGAGCACCCAGAGCTCCTCTGAGCCCCCAGTGCTGCTGCCTCCCAGCCATGCTTTTATCTCTCCAGCACAGGTAGAACAAAACGTGCCCTGCTGGTTACTTGTGCAGTCCTGGTCGAGTTTTCAGATAGTTTTTATATGGCAACAACAACAACAACAACAAAAACTAAAATATATTTAAAAGAAAAAAATAATTGGCTGCATGGAAAAAAATCCCTTAATCCCAGGAGGGTTTTCTCCCTCTCTGGCCTGACATCTGCTGTCTTGTGAGCTGAGTGGTAGTGTAAATACAGGTCCAGTGAAAGCTTCAGCTGGTAAAAACTGTTGCTAATTAGAGTTTGGGTGCTTTTGGGTTTTTTTCTCCACTAAATCAGCTAAATGTAAAACTACAAAACCCACTGGGAATAATGGGCAGTGTAGGGTTTTCTCCTTAAGAAGGAGCTGGTAATGATGCCTGAGGTAGTAGCTGGAGTTCAGAGTGGAGGCTGGTGGATTCTCTGGGCAGGCCTGGCTCCCCAGGTGCTGCCAGCCCTGTTTGACACTAATTACAGTGTAATGAGCCTGTTTCACAGCAATCCCAGTGTAATCAGCCTGTTTCACAGCAATCCCAGTGTAATCAGCCTGTTTCCCACCAATCCCAGTGCTCAGAGGCAGCAGTGGCTCCTGCTGCCCAGGCAATGCAGCTGCACAGATTCCTGCACTCCCTGGAGCTGCAGCAGAGAGGAGTGAGGTGTTCTCAGAGCCTCCACTCCCCTTTGCCCCAGCAAGGCCCAGGAGGGCTGAGGGATTCATGCACATCTCTGCTGAGGTAACAGAACTGGTACTGAATTCTGGCTTTGTTACAAATGTGATTTCTGTTGGTGTGGCAGTTGGATTGTGAAATCTGGGAGCAGAAGTTAATTCTGCCAAGTCAACTGCTCTAACTTGGAATTTAAACCAACAATTCAGTGAGCACTGCAGTGGCTGCTGAGTAACAACAGCATGGACACAGCTGAGCAGGAGCTGTCACTGACTCAGCCCCTGGAACATCACTGGGCCCTGTTTGCAAACACCAACAGAGATGTGGGGTTTGTTTTACAGCACCTGGGCTGCAATGGAAGGCAGGTGTGTAACTGGTTTGGTTGTTATCTATAGCAACAGAAAAGCATAAAAATAATACTTAAAATGTGTAAGAAAGAAAGGCCAAGGGCAGAAAGGTTTGTAATCAGTGACTGATCACAGCCTTGAGCCACCAGGGGTGGGAAATGATGAAGCAAAATGTGTTCAGAGAGACCTGGGCACACAGGGCCAGCCTGGGGGTGGCAGCAGGCTCTGGGTCCCTGCTGGGAGGGAGCAGCAGGAACCTCAGCCTGGGACTCCAACATCCCAGCTGGCACCAGAGCAGTGATCCAGGCTGATCCTTTCAGCTGCTGTTGGCATTGCTGGCCCAGGAGCTCCTCCCCTCTGCTCTCAGCTGGGAATTGAACCCCCCATCATTTCCCCCTGCAGGTGATTTTGGGCAGTGCTCACTGCACAGCCAGGTCTGCCCTTGCAGTGGCTGCAACATCATCAATTCCCTCCCTTGGTAAAACTGGCCCAGCAAGGGGCTGAAGTCCAATCAGTGCAATTGGGCAGCACTAATTACAAAGCAGAAGATGAATTAGCCCTGAGAGGGGATGTCACACACCCACAGCAATGGGTCAAGGACACCCAAACACCCCTTGTACCCCAGAACACATCCCCAGCCCTCACCCTCCCACTCAAGCTCATTTCCATCTGCTCCTGCACATGTATTTTTTTTCCCCCCAGAAAGAATTAGTCAGGAATACACTTAAAAAAAAAAATCAATGGAGAGGATGTTCTTTACCCTAAACAGGACATTCCTGATTTACTTTGCCCCAAGAAGCCATGAGGGATAGTCTGAAATTAAAACCATGACTTGTTTTTCCAAGCTACCAGGGACTTGCCATGTCTGAGTTTCTAAGTTCTTCACTCAGCACCTTTCATTGAACTGGACATCAGTGCTGGTTAAAATAAACCTATTTATCCAAAATCCTTCATTTTTTCAAGAGACACATGATCTGGTTTAAAAATCACAGCTTAATGGTTTCTTTTGGGAAATCAGAGTTAAAGTAAAAGCAGCTTACCTCTTGTGGGTGTTTTCCTTCCATGTTTTAAGCTTATTATAATGAAGTGACAATTAGAGAGAAATTATGTTTAGAGAGAGTTGCAGTCCAAATCCAATCATATTGTTAAAAACCATGCAGAACTATCTGGAGACTTCAAGTCTCAGTTTGCTGTTCAGGAAGCAAAGCTCACAGGCACTCTCAGTTTATCATCAGCCAGGGATTCACATCCTGCCCTTGGCCTGTTCCAGAACATTCTGAGGATGAGCTGGAGCTGGTGCCTGGCTCTGGATCTCCCTTTCAGGAGCTCTGTGGGTGCTGCTGCTGCAGAGCAGAGGCTGCAGGGGCTGCTGGGGCATTCCAGGGACTGTCCCAGTCCCCAGCAAAGGCCGCAGCTCTGCCCAGAGCTTTGGGGTGCAGAGGGCACAGCCAGCCCTGGCCCCACTCCCTGACCCCCAGTAAGGCAAAATCCCAATTGGGCTCCCTAATAACCACATTTCACCAACTGCTCCTGGAAAAAATCCATTTTTAGATTCACCCACCTGTTGCTGTCCTCCATGGAGTTCAGCCCACACAAAAACCTCCCTTGCACCTCAGTAAAGAAGAGAAAATGGAGCCCAAGTGGGGCAGGGCAGGGGGTGTCCAAAGCTGCTGCTGCTCAAAGATCACTACAGAAACTGTTGGCATGTGACTGGAAATGTAGAGGGTGTTTTATCAAGTGTGGTTTTACTTGCACTGCTGTTATTTATCAGTTACTTTTTAAAAACTATTCAGAATGTCATTTCTTGAGTTTTCCAAATGTCCCACTCAGAACTGTGGCTGACTACATTAAAATGATGACATTGAATCTTAAACCTAAAATTTAATTTATTTTATTAAAATAAGATAATCAGAGGAACCTTGGCTTACAATAAATGCATTTTCTCAGGAGCAATAAAAACAAAATTAAAACCCAAATCAACAAGAAAAACTGTATATGCTCAGTTTCCTCTTGCTAGTGCATCTCTTGGACAACAGCTCCTGCTGGATGCAGCCTCTGCAGGAGGGGGAACATCCTCAATCCTCATCCTCTGCAGGAGGGGGGACATCCTCAGCCTCTGCAGGAGGGGGGACACCCCCAATCCTCTGCAGGAGGGGGGACATCCTCAATCCTCTGCAGGAGGGGGAACATCCTCAATCCTCTGCAGGAGGGGGGACATCCCCAATCCTCATCCTCTGCAGGAGGGGGAACATCCCCAATCCTCTGCAGGAGGGGGGAACATCCCCAATCCTCTGCAGGAGGGGGGAACATCCCCAATCCTCTGCAGGAGGGGGGAACATCCTCAATCCTCTGCAGGAGGGGGACACCCCCAATCCTCATTCCCTGCAGGAGGGGGACACCCCCAGCCTCTGGCAGCCCAGCCCTCCTCACCCACCCTGCCTGGGCTGCAGCACAGCAGGTCCATAGTACCAAAGGCAGCTGGGAGGCTTCTCAAGATGACCAAAGCAGGACTGGCTCACCTCCTTCTCTGAGCAGGACAATTCACGACAGATTCCATCCTTTTGCAAGAGTTTTTCTTCTATGTGCAAAACTATTGCAAAACTATTTTGTGTTGAATTAGCATTTGAACTTATTTCATTGGCTTGGTGAAGCTCTTAGGCAGGAGCTGATTTCCAGAGTTATTTCCTCTTCCCACTCCAGGCACAACTCCCCAGGGTGAGGTGACACTTGGCACGGGGCAGTCAGAGCACCAGAACATCAGCTGTCCTCAGAGCCCCCTCACTCACTGAGCCCAGAGCAAACCCAGCCAGAGCCACTGCCAAACTAACAGCCATCGCTTCTGGGAAGGGGAAAATAAGGCTCAAGTGCATCTATTAAAAAAATAGTAATAGATCTCTTGATTTGTAGTCTGTTACCTCTCCCAGAACAAGAGATGGTAGCAAAGGCAATGAGGAGCTGTGTCCCTGCAGGCTGAGAACTGCACGAATCCAGAGCAGCTTCTTGGTGGGGTGGGACACAGAGGGTCCTGCTGGAGGAGCCTGGACACCAGGCAGGGAGGCAGAGCTCGAGTTCCCCCTGCAGCTCCAGCCAGGAGCAGGGCAGAGCACTCAGAACACGGGCAGCCTGCTGGAGCCAGGGCAGAGTGCTCAGAAGAGCCTGCTGGAGCCAGGGCAGAGCACTCAGAGCACTCAGAGCAGCCTGCTGGAGCCAGGGCAGAGCACTCAGAGCACTCAGAACACGGGCAGCCTGCTGGAGGTCAGCGTGCACGAGTTGATGTCCTCGGTGTGGGCGGCGCGGTGCAGGGACGGCTCCGAGGCGCTGCGGTTGATCTTGGGCAGAGAGTGCTGCAGCAGCTCGATGGAGGACAGGATCTGGGGAAAGAGCAGCTCTGAGAGGCTGTGGGGCCTGCAGCCCCCTCTGCTTCCATTCAAACCTTCATTCATCCATCCATTCATCCATTCATTTATCCATTCGTTCACTCAGTCCTTACCCAGTTCAAGTTTTATGTTAATGCTCCGTGGGGCACCGAGATCAGAGCTGGAGGAAGCCAACTCTGCCCACTGTGCACTGTCAGTGCTGTGAGGGCCTCAGGGGGTGCCAGAGGCTGGAGGGTGCTTTTCATCAGTTCACAGATAATTAGGAGCAATTAATGAGCGTCTAAACCACCCTCCAGCAGAGTAACAGGGAAGGAACTGCATCTTCTGCCTGACAGTTCAAAAGAACTTCCTAAACAATGCTTGACTGCAACAGCAAGAAGTTATTTTTCCAAAATTGCTGATGTTTAATTAATTAATTACTCATAATTAATGAGTATAAGAAAGTACCTTCTCCATCCCCATAGTGACAGGAAAAGGCAAAGCATCCCTTGTAGAAATACCAAAAATTGCTCCATGAGTTTACATCCCCCAGTGGATTTTGTTTCCTTGTTCAGAGTTGTGAGGAAGGAAAGGAGCAATGGCCCCTCATTTCCCTCAACCCTAAAATGAAATGGATACCCAGAGATAGATTTCACTTTTCTGGAGTGAGAGGGGTTTGGTTTGTCTCAGGTGCTGACAGCCCAGCACAGCCTCAGGCTGTGTTCCATGGACTCCAGGAACTCTCAGTCCAACCACAGCACTGCCCAGAGCTGCATTACCAACACACACAGGACCAGGGCAAGGCTGCACTTGCTGCTAACCAGAATTTCCATCTGAGCAGGTCCTGTGTGCCCCAATGGTGCTCACAAAGCCCTCAGGGCCCTGGCAGCACACCCCACTCACCTGTGGGAACAGAGGTCGTTCTTCCCTGACTTTCTTCAGACAATCTGCTACCAGCCTCTTCATGGCCTTGGGGCAGTTCTTGTACAGCTTGCTGAGGTCTGGGGAAGCATAGCCCCTGCCAACCATGAAAATGATCTGCAAAACAGCCACCCACACAAGCAGGTTACACAGGGGGCTCACTGCTGGGCAGCTGTGGTGCCCCCAAGGTGAGGAACCCCAGTCCCACCAACACTGCCCTGCAGGCTGGGCTGCCCAACAGCACACACCAAACACGAGGATTCAATACTCCAAGGCTGGACAATTGTCACTGGGGTTTTTCCCTTGGTAAAAAGCACCAAATCCAATCTTCCTGATGTAGCAGCAGCATATTGCACACCAAAATGGGAATTTCCCATAACTGCAAATGTATAAACCAGTATTTTACTGGGCAGCAGAAGCTGTAAGCTGGGAATAAATTAACAGGGCACTTCAAATGTTTATAAACAAGGAATTTTTTCCTTTGAGTGCCTGCACTGTCAATATTGAGGGATCTCTCAGCTCCACATTCACTGCTGACACCAGGCAGGCTGGCAGCACCAGCTCAGCTGGGCTGCATTTGTATTTCCCCTGCATTCCCCAGGCCAGGGCATGTGCCATGGGCAGAATGAGCTGGGCTGCCCCAGAGGGCTCCTACCTGGTCTCTGTTGTTGATGTGGGAGTAGGGCAGCTCCCCTGTCATCAGCTCATACAGCACTATTCCATAGGAGTAGACGTCTGATTGGAAGCTGAAGGGGTTGCTGTCCTGCATGCGGATCACCTCGGGGGCCTGCAGGGACAAAGCAGCCACAACAGCACCAAGGAAGAGAGAGGGTTTGGGAGCACAGACAGTGAGCTCAGCTGGCAATCAGTCAGCAAAGGCACCCCAAAGCTTGCATGGGTTTGCCTAAGGCTCTGGAGGAGTTCAGGCTACTCCTATCTTATTAAAAATATCAATACAGCACACCAAAAAAATCAATCCTTTACTTGAACAAGCATTTTGCCATTGGAAAAAATATTAATATTTGGATTTGCAACATTTACTGACTCCTGTTACACCTTACTCAGAACTGAGCCTGAGTTTCACCAGCAGTTCTTAAACTTCTATCAAGGTTAAAAGGGAAAATACAAAACTCTCATCTCTTGTAAATTGATACCAAAATTTGCTCAGGAAATGTGAAAGCCAAACAAACCAGCACATATTGAACAGATCAGGGAAGAAATGCAGGAACATTGTAACATTTTTCATATTTCCTGGTTTAACATACCACCAAAGTTTGACGAGTTTACCTAAGGCTCTCCACATCTTATTAAAAATATCAATACAGTTCAGAGCACACAAAAAAAATCAATGCTTTACTTGAACAAGCATTTTGCCATTGGAAAAAAATATTAATATTTGGATTTGCAACATTTACTGACTCCTGTTACACCTTACACAGAACTGAGCCTGAGTTTCACCAGCAGTTCTTAAACTGGTACCAAGGTTAAAAGGGAAAATACAAAACTCTCATCTCTTGTAAACTGATACCAAAACATGGTCAGGAAATGTGAAAGCCAAACACAAACCAGCACATATTGAACAGATCAGGGAAGAAATGCAGGAACATTGTAACATTTTTCATATTTCCTGGTTTAACATACCCCCAAAGCTTGATGAGTTTACCTAAGGCTCTGGAGAAGTTCAGGCTACTCCTATCTTACTAAAAATATCAATACAGTTCAGAACACACAAAAAAAATCAATGCTTTACTTGGACAAGCATGTTGCCAATGGAAAAAATATTAATATTTGGATATTTGCAACATTTGGATATTTGCAACCTTGGTAGCAAGGTTAAAAGGGAAAATACAAAACTCTCATCTCTTGTAAATTGATACCAAAATTTGGTCAGGAAACGTGAAAGCCAAACACAAACCAGCACATATTGAACAGATCAGGGAAGAAATGCAGGAACATTTGAAGATATTTGCAAATTATGGAGCTTCTTAAAACAAACACTGTCAGATGGCTGAGCACAACAAGGTGTGACCCACCAGAAGAACTTTTCCATTGGCTGAGATCTTTTCTCCCTCCTGAAGAATTCCCTCAGAATTATTAAGCAAAGCACTAAAGTGCAACAGCATAAAAAGCACAAAAAGGGACCACAGGAGCTTCCAAGGCAACAGAACCAACCTCCCCTCCTGTGACAGCTCAGCAAGGGTGGGCTACACATGACTAAAATAAATAAAATGGTTTTGAAAAGCCTGCAATGAGCAAATATGCAGGGTTTTTTTTTTCCCAAGGTCTGTTTCATGTACACAAATACATTGCATGCCATTAGGTAAGTTAGTTTTAAACCCTTTTACGGAAAGTTTTTCAAAATGTGACTTTTTGTATCATTTTTTTACAGAAAAGAACATTTCTGCTTCTGGAACTCTGTTTCAGGTGATGTGTGTATTTTCCAGAGCACAAAGCAGCCTTAGCCAAGCATCCTGACATTTTTAATACCCATTCCCAGATTTACTGGCAGCCCTAAATATTTAAAATAACTCCCAAGCCCCAGTGGAGAGTCCACGGGTGCCTGGTGCCTATTTTGCACAATTCATGCCCAATTTTAACCTGTCCTAGAGCTGAACAAAAGCCCCAGAGGCCTGGCAGCAGTGAGTGAGTGCTGAGGGGGCAGTGCAGAGGGAGCTCTGCAAAGCAGGGATGCTGTGCTCACCATCCACAGGATGGAGCCCGTGGGCTGCTCCACCTGCTGGGATCCACTCCACCTGGACTTGACAGTTGCCAGCCCAAAGTCTCCTATTTTCACTGTCAGGCCTTCATGAAGAAATATATCTGTGGGTTTGTTAAAGAAACTGCACAAACTGAGTCAACAGTTCTGTATTTTCTGACCTGAGTGTCAAGTGCTGCCTGTTTTACTGAAACCTGTATGGGAAACAAAGGAAAAGGGCTTTGAAATTAACATTTAACACTAAACCAGAGCAGATGTTCAGCAGCATTTGTAGATTTATCTTTATGGTGAGCCAGGACAGAAATCAACAGTTCATTACCACCCATGGCTGCAGCTCCTTAAATAACTGAGAAAAGGAAAGAGCTCAGAGGTCTCACAACTCAGAAAAGAAAATTAAGAAAAAAACAATTACAAGGAGAAGTAAATGTAAAAATAAAATCTATTTCCATGAAGTTCTCTGGCAGATCTCCTGAGGTTTAACTATGATTTTAACTGCAAATACACCCACACTATTTATAATTATCTCCTTCATGGATCTGTCTGTCACTGGTATCAGCACCTTCTTTGCTGGGTTATTTTAAGAAGTGATCATTTATTGATTTGACTTAGGAATGCTGCAAATTCAAGAAGATAATTCAGAAATAGAAATGAGAAAGAGTCAGTCATGTTTGTATGTCAGGAGCAGAGCTAACTTAATTCACAAAAATGATCATCATTACTAGGAATCACGAATTTCTGACCTCCTATACAATAAAATAATTGGGGTTTTTTTGTTTAACTGGAAAGGGAATCCACTGACGTTCTGGAACTACTGAACTTGGCAGATTTTTTATGATGGCATTTGCCAAAACATCCTGGTCACATGTGATGGAAGGAAGCCCCAGTTCCCATCTCCAAGGATGTTGTGGTAACTGCAAAATCAGGCATTTCAAAGGTGCAAGAAATCAGCTCCCACCATTTTCACTCCAGATGTGTTACTGAATCTATATTTTTGCACGACATAGAATAGTAAAAGGCTGCTTTTCCTTGAGTTTAAACTAAGACTTTTGGCTTCCTTTCTGCCAGTTATGTGAGGAGTTCTAAATGTACTAAAAATACCCAAGAGACAGAAACAAACCCATGTGTGCACACACAGCTCCCACCAAGGAGGAGAGCAGCATGTGGGTCCCAGAGCACTGAATAAACCTCATTTCAGTAAAATAAGAGACTCCTGGAGCACAACTGCTGCACATCTTTATGCCAAGTGTGGCAAACAAGCACAGATGCCCTGTGGAAATCCCTGCCAGCTCATCAACATGGATTGCCCATTAGTAGTTATATATATCAATCTATTTTAAATAGGTGGTGCAAGCCCCACAGAAAGCAAGCTCCCCATGCCCAAGAAATCCCTCCCAGCAGAGGATGGAGCTCAGGAAGGATACTGTTGGATTTCATGTCTCTGTGGATGATGTTCTTGGCATGTAAATAGCTGTGAAGGGAAAAGCACAGCAGCCATTAGCAGGGCTGCTCACAACCAGCATTTTCATTCCCCCAGACACTTTATTCAGTTTATTACACACCCAACCCCTGCTGGCTTTCCACAAGTCCACTTTGGGAACAAAGAAATGGAGCTGTGCTCAGTGCAGGGAAGAAATGCCAGGAAGGAGTGGCACAAATTCCATTAACCCTTCACCAAAGGGAGAATGGATTTAGGGGTGCTGGGTGCTCATCCTTCACCAGAAGCACAGGGGGGATGGATTTAGGGGTGCTGGGTGCTCATCATTCACCAGAAGCACAGGGGGGATGGATTTAGGGGTGCTGGGTGCTCATCCTTCACCAGAAGCACAGGGAGAATGGATTTAGGGGTGCTGGGTGCTCATCCTTCACCAGAGGCACAGGGAGAATGGATTAACCCTGGAAACCTGGGGCTGTCCTCACAGCCATGAGCTCTGTGCCCTGTGCTGGGGCTGACTGCTCCAAATGGACATTTCACCCTGGCCAGCTCCTGGAGAGTGGCTGTTCCAAATGGACATTTCACCCTGGCCAGCTCCTGGATCTGCTCCAAATGGACATTTCACCCTGGCCAGCTCCTGGAGAGTGGCTGCAAACCTGGGCTCTGAGCTCCAAGGAAGGAGCTGTGGCAGCAGTAGCTGCTCCTGTGCTCCCAGCATCAGAACCAGGGCTGAGAGCAGGGAGCTGGAAATGCTTCCAGAACCATCTGGGTGAGTCCTGGGGAACAGAGCAGCCACCCCTGATCCCACAGAGCATCAATCAGTGTGTGTCAGACACTGCAGGGTTACACTGACACGGGGGAGGAAAAGCCCCCTCATCCTGAATTTACAACAGCATTGCATCTGCTGCACTACAGCAGAGCTCAGGCTGGAGAAGCTGATAAAATAGCTGATAAAATGGGGCAGGAGAGGGGCAGGAAAGGGGCAGGAAGAGGGGCAGGGAGAGGGGCAGGGAAAGGGGCAGGGAAAGGGGCAGGGAAAGGGGCAGGGAAAGGGGCAGGGAAAGGGGCAGGGAAAGGGGCAGGGAAAGGGGCAGGGAAAGGGGCAGGGAAAGGGGCAGGGAAAGGGGCAGGAAAGGGGCAGGAAGAGGGGCAGGAAGAGGGGCAGGAAGAGGGGCAGGAAGAGGGGCAGGAAGAGGGGCAGGAAAGGGGCAGGAAAGGGGCAGGAAGAGGGCCAGGAAAGGGCCAGGAAAGGGGCAGGAAGAGGGGCAGGAAGAGGGGCAGGAAGAGGGGCAGGAAAGGGGGAAGGCACTCACTCCATGCCCTGGGCGGTCTGGCGGGCGATGTCGATGAGCTGGAACATCTGGAACTTGGTCTCCTGCACGTGCAGGTGTTTGTAGAGGCTGCTGCCCTCACACCACTGGGTGACAATGGCCAGGTTGTCCTTGGTCATGTAGCCCATGAAGAGCAGGATGTTCACGTGCCGGGTCTTCCTGACAGAGGAGCACCAAGAGCAATCAGGGGCTGCACCCAAAGTGCTCCCCAGGGCTGCTCCAAAGGCACTCCTGGCTGAATGCATCTCATCTCTGCAATCCCAGGCCAGTGTGGCAGTGAAATTTGGGTTCACACATCATTAAAATACACCACAGTTGCCATTTTCTGGTTTTCAGCTGCTCTTTTGCTTTTTAGTTACAATATTCCCTTTTAGTTATTTGAAATCAACATTTAAGAATTTGACATCAACAAGCAACAGTCACACTTGCAAGTGGGGTTAGAAGTTACTGGGATGGCAGAAAGCACCCTGGAAGTTGGGAAAAATCCCAGCTTTAGGTGGAAGGCTGAATGCCAAGGGAAACCAAAGATAGCTGTAAAGCCTAAAGGAATTATCAGATGAGGAGATGGTTTGTTATGTATCTACTTGGTTCATTTTCAGGAGTAACATCACAGACACTAAAACACCTCAGGATCTGAAAGCAGAGAACAATTACACTGATCAGTGCATGTGTTTAAGGAAAATAATGATTATGGTGCCATTTGAAGAGGAACAGTTCAAGTGTTGTCTGGTGGTGAGAATTAGGGCAGAATTCATTAATCCCCACCTTCACTGCCCAGTGTGGGCTGAGCAATGTTGAGAGACCACAAAAATACTCTGAACTAGGACTGTCTCTTTTATTCTTCTCTGGAAATCTGTTTTTGTGCCTATCACACACAGAACATGGGGCCAGAAGGCTGCAGGGAGGCAAATGCAGCAGCTGGAATATCAGAATTTAGCAATGGAACTCCAACTCACCTCAGGACAGCCACTTCATTCCTGAAAGCCTGGAACTGTTCTGGGGTTGGGTCTACAACCTTTAGGATCTTCACTGCTACATCCCCTGGAAATAAAATGGCAACAAAGTTACTGAAGATGCAGCTTTCCTCTCCTCCTCAAAGTAACAAAAATAAACAATGCAATTCAAATTCCTCATCTGAACCTCTACTGAAGGGTCAAGATTTCCCTGCAGACAAATTCCTGTGGTGTCAAGTAATTAATTCAGTCTAATGGAAAAAGCCATTAATTAATTATTCCCACACCTCCCTTCTATTTTTAAGGGCTATGTTGGGGTAGAATCCATTTTGCAGGACATATGTATACACACCTTTGTGGTTTGATTAGCAAATTTAAATATTGAAGTGTTTTATATATAAATTTCATTTGAGCACATTAGAAAACCCAACAGCTCTCCTTCATGCAGAATTTCTTTACTTCTTTAATTCTTGGTACTTGAAGAGGTGTGAATGTTCTACTAAAATAAATTGTAATATGAATTTATGTTTTATTACAAAATCTGATTGAACTAATCTTCCTCTTGATTTCTGTGTCCCATTCAGTTCCATAATGAAAATCAGAAACTGCTCATGACTTTTAGTGTAACAATAGTGCTTCCCTTGCTGCTGACAGCATCTGGGCCTTGAGACATGCAAGTATTTACTCATTAAAAACAGAGGGCAGCAGGTGAGTTTCCAGATTTGTTTTGTTAGGGTTTTTTTCCTGACAATAATGCCATTTAAATTAGAGCATGGAGGGGTTTTTGTGTGTTTCTGTTCAAAATCACAAGCCATGAATTTGGAAACAAATTCTGCAGCTTTGCAGGGTGCCTGTTTTCAAAATATCCCCACTACCTACAGATCAAACTCTCACATTCATCATTTTTTCATTGAAAAAACTCCACAATTTATTTATGCTGATCTCCTTTCCATCCCACCTTGAAATGAAGCATGCTGATTAAACCACAAAGGTTTGAAGAGAAGCTAAATATAACTGAACAGCAGGCTGTGGAATTGCCCAGCTAACAGAAAACAAACCCTTTTAGAAAGCAAACTGGTGTGGAGCATGGGAGTGAAGAGATCAGAGCAGTGAGAATGGAGAGGCACTTGTGAGACTGAGGTTTGGGGTCTGTGCTTGGCTTGAACCCCAGGGCTGCTCTCACACAGCAGATCCTGATTCTGCCTGGGCCTTGGGAGAAGGATGAGCACCCAGCACCCCTAAATCCATTGTGCCTCTGGTCAAGGATGAGCACCCAGCACCCCTAAATTCATTGTGCCTTTGGTGAAGGATGAGCACCCAGCACCCCTAAATCCATTCTCCCTTTGGTGAAGGATGAGCACCCAGCACCCCAAGATCTATTTCCCCTGTGCCTTTGGAGGCAGCTGAGCACCCAGCACCCCTAAATCCCTTTTCCCTTTGGTGGCAGCTGAGCACCCAGCACCCCTAAATCCCTTTTCCCTTTGGTGGCAGCTGAGCACCCAGCACCCCTAAATCCCTTTTCCCTTTGGTGGCAGCTGAGCACCCAGCACCCCTAAATCCATTTTCCCTGTGCCTCTGGAGAAGGATGAGCACCCAGCAGGAGTAAATCCATTTTCTCTGTGCCTTTGGTGGCAGATGAGCATCCAGCAGCAATAAATCCATTCTCCCTTGGGTGAAGAATGAGCACCCAGCACTCCTAAATCCATTCTCCCTTTGGTGAAGGATGAGCACCCAGCACCCCAAGATCCATTTCCCCTGTGCCTTTGGAGGCAGCTGAGCACCCAGCACCCCTAAATCCCTTTTCCCTTTGGAGGCAGCTGGGCACCCAGCACCCCTAAATCCCTTTTCCCTTTGGTGGAAGCTGAGCACCCAGTACCCCTAAATCCCTTTTCCCTTTGGAGGCAGCTGAGCACTCAGCACCCCTAAATCCCTTTTCCCTTTGGAGGCAGTTGAGCACCCAGCACCCCTAAATCCCTTTTCCCTTGGGAGGCAGCAGGGCACCCAGCACCCCTAAATCCCTTTTCCCTTTGGTGAAGGATGAGCACCCAGTACCCCTAAACCCCTTTTCCCTTTGGATGCAGCTGGGCACCCAGCACCCCTAAATCCCTTTTCCCTTTGGAGGCAGCTGAGCACCCACACTCCTAAATCCCTTTTCCCTTTGGTGAAGGATGAGCACTCAGCACCCCTAAATCCCTTTTCCCTTTGGTGAAGGATGAGCACCCAGCACCCCTAAATCCCTTTTCCCTTGGGAGGCAGCTGAGCACCCACACTCCTAAATCCCTTTTCCCTTTGGTGAAGGATGAGCACTCAGCACCCCTAAATCCCTTTTCCCTTTTGTGAAGGATGAGCACCCAGCACCCCTAAATCCCTTTTCCCTTTGGTGGCAGCTGAGCACCCAGCACCCCTAAATCCCTTTTCCCTTTGGTGGCAGCTGAGCACCCAGCACCCCTAAATCCCTTTTCCCTTTGGTGGCAGCTGGGCACCCAGCACCCCTAAATCCCTTTTCCCTTTGGAGGCAGCAGGGCACCCAGCACCCCAAGCTCCATGTTGCCCAGCTCCAGACTCACCGTGCCACTTGCCCTTGTAAACTGTGCCAAAAGAGCCTGAGCCTATCCTGGTGGACAGCATCACTTCACTGGCTTCTATTTCCCAGTAATAACTGGAGTCTCTCTGGCCACGAGGCCTCTGCAACAACAATTCACAGAAAGGTCATTTTTAATCACCTGTATTATACACACACAAATCAATTCAATAACTTCCTTCACACAATTTCCCCTTGAAACCTTGAGGGGTTGGTCCTGCAGTTTGGATTTTTGTTTTTCTCCTCACTTTGGGAGGGTGGTGGGAGTTTTCAGCAAAAAACCCAAATAAAAAAAATCACCCCATTTTTCTTGGGTGTCTTGAACTGTTTATCATGAAGGTCTGCACTAGAAAATTAAACCCTAATCTGAGATGCTAAAAGGAACATATATTTTATGATCAATTATTTAAAAACATCTGAAATATTTAAAAAAGTGGTTTCTTCAAAGGCACAATGCTAAAATTCTGGAATTCTTAAATGGAATAAGCCAAACAGATGAGAACAAAATTCCCAAATGTCTAAGTGAGGAAAAACTGTGAATCTTTCTTTCTTTTCTTTCTTTCCCCCACCCCTAAGTTTAAATCAAGCCTTTGAGGGAAAAGCTGCATTTTGTAAAATCTGGTTTTCCCTGAGATATTTATTTGACTGTCCAAGGGAAATGAAGGCATTGGCAATATCCCCTTTCTATGGAAACAACACAGTTCAAACAGTGCTAATGAAGCCAATTTGAAATAAATTAAAACTGGATCAAAAGGATGCAACCTCCAAAGATTTAAAAGGCAATCCTTGGGCCTGCACTGACAATGTCACACCACTGGCTGAAATTCATTTGCAACCCAGAACACTTTGTTCTGAGCATTTATAATCCAAGGCATCAGTGCCATCATTCCCCAATTAATGACAATAAATTGTTCCTGTACACACAGTGCAGAGCAAGCCAAGATCACCTGCACCTTTCAGTGCAGAAATTCATCCCAGCACAGTGCAAACTCATTTGTGAATTCAAGCAAACATCACCATACTCACAATTTTGTTTTTTTCTTGTGTGTTAGATGCAGGGGCTCTCTCTCTTTGGGCTGGGACTGGGGTTTTAGGCTGAGACCAGCCAGTTGGGCTCATATTGTTAGGACTTCCAGACAGAGCAGAGGGTGAGGCTTTAAGACAAAAATACAAGAAAACAGTTGATGAACAAGAGAACAAGCAAATCAAACCATATTAGAAAATGTTTCATTCTTGAAAGCATACCTGATTCACTATGGCTTCGAATTGCATCCTGCAACAGAGGAAATGGAGAATAAAGTTAATAAAGGAACAAGGAGCACACAAAGGAACAAGCAGGGCTGGTGTGGAAATTGCTGGGCCAGTTTTGGTGCACTAGAGCACTGGCCAGCAGCTCCAGGATTGGGGATCTGCTCATCACACCAATCCTGCAGGAAACCCATGCAACTGGTGAGTTCTGCCAACACAGGGAAGAGGCTCAGAGCATACTGAAAGGACTGCTACCAAAAAGGAAAGGGGCACAACACAAGACCCAGCAGCAGCAACACCATCTGCACTCCCCCTGCACTTCATGCTCGTGTTCCAGGTGTGGACAGAGCTCCTGGCACGGCCCCAGGGCACAACTCCCAAACAGCTCCCGGGGTACAGCAGGACTTTGAACCCCCCCAAATATTCCACCTCAACACCCAGTGTGAAATGGCTGCACACAGCACCTCAACCCCCAAAACAGGCTACACAAGTGCCCCTACACAAAGCCCTCTCCTTTTCCAAGCACATTCCCACAGGGAATCTGGCATTTGAGCAGTGTTCCCACAGGTCACCAGGACAGTGCCACAAGTGTCACCTCATGCCACGGGCACAACACAACTCTACAGCCATGCACAAGAGAGAACTAAGCTCTGACAAACAGCACTGCACAGCTTTTCTCACCTGCCTTTTGCATTATCCCAAAGTACAAACAGGAAAGGGAAAATATCCAGGGACTGTGTGAGTACAAAGCAAGAACATGCACTACAGAGAGATTAAACACTGTCAAAGTTAACAGAAGTCAATGCAAATTCTCTAACTAATTAGTAGAATAATAAATGTAAGACTTCATAGGAGGACAGAACAAGCCCACAATGCACTCCACAGTTTCAAATTAAGATTATCCTTAGCAGAGGTTCAGTTATAAAATACATTGTTTTAGCTAATTAGTTGCATTCACCCAGGCTGGACTAAGTACAGCATTCTTGCAGATTGCCACTGCTCCACACCTGAGTGGATTAAAATCTGCACGAACAACCAATGAAGAACTCCTCAATTTACTAATTTTGTTTATTTTAAGGATAATAAAACCTTTCAGAACCAAATCACAAGTGATTGGTTTTGTACATCAGCCTGAGAATGTAACTGCTTTCAAGGAAGCTGGCAAAGGATGACTAAAGAATTCCAATTGTTTCTCATACTTATCTATGTGGAGTTCTTACTTTGAAAAAGTATTTTGGAGCTTCAATCCTGATGTGAATATTTGTTTATTTGCTTCTGATTTCAACAGCAAACAAACCAAACCCCTGTTCTTACAACACAAGTAACACCATCCCCAGTGCTGTAGTCTGTCAGCTTTCCTTTGATGGGAAATAAAAACAGTCCAAGCTGTTCTTCATCTCAGGGCTTTGGATGGGTACAGCCAATAAAAACCACTTCCAGAGGGAAAAGCCACACAATGCATGTGTTTTGAGAGGGTTTTGGTTAAAGGCTGTGAGACCCAATGCATTCTAATCCAAGCCTATTCCCATCCAGAGGAGGATGAATTCAGCCAGATCAACTGAACATGTAGCTCTTTATCAATTTGCCCCTTCCAATTAACAGCCCCAATATTTGAGTATAAACATGCTGGCAAGATTCTCATCAGATCAGGTCCAGATTCAACACCTCAGGTGGACACTGCCATGGCTTACAAGTTACAGCAATGCTGTTAATGACAAGAAAACAGAAGGCACCAAGGAAATACCTACTCTTCCCCTCAAACAAAAGCGTCTGCACCAGGAGCTGGGAGAAGCATTCAGGCTGTTATTCTAGGCCAACACAGTAAGAGATAAAAGAAAAGAACAGAGGAAGTATAAAAAAGTATTTCTAAAAATTCAATGTTAGGCTAAATGAAAGAAAAACCTAATTTGCTTGATAAATGCTAATTAAGTGCAATAAAATTTTTAAGTATTCCTGCTCAAACCCAGAGGTTCACTAGGATCTATCCTTGGGTAAAGCATTTTTTTATTATAGTTTTTCTCCTGGTTTACTAGAAAGTCTCTGCTACTTTCTTTCTGCATTGCTTTGGGGCCTTTGAAAAGCTTTTAGAATGTAACAGCTATTTTTATGGTAATGTGAAGATCCAGAATAGAAAGTGTTTCTATCTTTACTGCTCTGCATAAAGAAAAAAAATGTCTCCCTAAAGACTCATCACTCTACCCAGATCAATAATTCAGATTTTCTTGAGTGCTCCATTGTGGTTTGTGCCATCAGAGATGGTCAGCCTGGCCTCTGAACCAGCAAAAAGGGCTGGGAGCCAAAGAAGCCAAAGAGAAAGGGAGGACACAAAGGCAGCTGACACAGAGCCTCTGACCAAAAATGCTTCCTGGGGCTGCAGGGCACTCCTGCTCTGCTCCAAGGGCCAGAGGAACTCTCTCAGTCCCTTCAGAGGATCTTCAGGTTTCACACAAGTCCATAAATCAGCAGCTGAAGATGCAGGTGAGCTCAGCAGTGAAAGGCTTTTGCTTGGCCTCCAGAGTTTTTAAACTATTCCAGAGGCAAAAGCAGCAAACAGTGCTTGCTCTCTCTCCCAAGTCCTGCAGTTCAGCATTTCCTGCACACCAGTTTGTTAAGGTTAGCACAAATCAAAATTAAAGAAACCCAACCACTTTAGGCCTGATTTCCCAGAGTTGTCCCTCACTGCCAGTCTAAGGTAGGAAAATACAAAAAAAAGGTGTTTGAAGGGAAGAACAGCAGGAATAGTCTCAGACAGACTGGCTTCAGCCCACAGGCCCAGAATTGTCATTAATTCCATTCAGGTGTAACACAAAACAGATCCCCAGGAAGCTCTGACCTGAGCATCCCCAGCCCAAGAACTACACCAGACTCAGGGCACCTTTAGTCTGACTGAAAATTAACACCAGCCCCCCTCACAAACCCAGACTTTTACATTTGGAAAAACATTTTTAGACACATCTAAAAAGCATTTCTTCACAAAACTGAGCTTAACTGTTAAACCTCTTGACACACCCCTAGAATTCCCCAATTCCTGCAGCAAAGTTGATAGACTGCAAGAATTAATAATGAACTTCCTATGCAAAGGTGTCTCCTGATCTCCTCCCCAGTGAGGCAGCTGAGGCAGGCAGTGAGCAGAGGGGAGGAAGGCAGGAAGGCAAGGCCACAGAGGCTGTGGCAGGGCAGTGCAGCCCCAGGGCAGCCCTGCTGTTACCTCGATGATCCTGCTGTCCACGGGCATGGTGGTGCTGACCATGTGCACGTTGGGGGTGGATGTGGAGCGCTGCCTTTGGGACAGAGAGCCCTCAGAGGAAGGGTTGGATGGGTTGAAAGTGAAGGCATGAGGTGTAGAATACCTGTGCTGGGAGCTGAGAAGGAAACAGAGACAAAGGGAGACTTGTGGTTATTTTTATTTCCCCCTCTGGCAAGTGAAAAACACCATTCAATGTAACCTGTCCAAAAGCAATATACACACAATTCCAAGCAGAGAAAAAGCTGGGATTTACACATCAACTAAACTACTTGGTCAGCTGAATCAGTCCCAGTTTAATCTAAGAAATAAATTTAAAAAACGTGAAGATCTTGTCAGCTCACATATTTAATTAGTGTGTTTAGCTGAGGTCTGGTTTTGCTGTTAGGAACTTTGCCACAGTTCACCTCAATCCCCATCAAATCACATTTAATACACTGACAAAATACTGCCTCTGAGAGATGAATTCAGGACTGTGAAACTAAACAAACTGCTCGTTTCAAGCCTGTTAAATGCACAGCTTAAGAGCTAAGCCCTGAATTTGTAAAGCTTTGCAAGACTGTTCAATGGTTTGCACAGAACAGCCAGCAAGGAAGTCATGAAACCCAACACCAGTTAAAAGGAGGCCAAGGCTAAAATCCAGCTCAACAAAGAGTTCTAAATCACAGCTAAGGCCACTCAGACCATTAGGATCCCAAAACACAAATGTATCTTAATTGAAATGGGCCAGCCTTCACAAAAGATCTATAAAGTTAGTAACTCACTGTTCAACAACACTGGAAATAAGGGTAAGATGGCAAAGATCAATTCCTGATGCAGTTCCCATTAAAACAAAGAAATAAAGACATAGAACCATTTACAAGTCAGCTACGTGCTCTGTGCCTCATTCCTGACCAGACTGTTCAAATGGGTGCAGAAAAAACAAAAGCTGGCCTGCTCTCTTCAGCCTCTAGAATTTCAAGGGAAAGAATACAGGCACGTGTTAGGGTCAGGGAGAGGCCCCTTGGGAAGGGACACAAGTTTCATTTCAGCATGAATTAAAACTACAGGCATGTTCTCTTTAGGTATGAGAATTTTCTTTAAGAGGAGCATATTTTCAGTTCCCACTGTTCTCTCCTTAAACTCCTATCTGTCATCAGAATATCAGAGCATTATTTTAGTTATGATGTGAATCATCCACCACGAGACACAAACTCTTGATGCACACTACCTGATCAGATAAAATAAAATGAATTCACAGAAATACCAAAAGGGAGCCTTGGATTTTCTTAGGCAGGAAAACAAAGGTCTCCAAAAAGCCTTTAATACTCTAAAATTGAAAAGGCTAAAACTTGAAACTATGAAATCTGAAATCAATGCTTTGGTGGATCTAAGAACAAGAAAGAGTTGTCTGTGATGAAGTGGTGTTGCTGCCTTGCACATTCATCCCAACCCTGGATCAGATTGCTCTGCTTTGGAGGAGCTGGGGGTCTCTGGCTGCTTGGGATGGATTGCTCTGAGAGAAGTGTATTTCCCAAAAGAGAAATGACAGGAAATACAAGCTTACCTAACAGGTATCCGGGAGACAGACTCCCGCATCCGTCTCATTGTCAAGGGAGGTAGTGCAGGGACACCACTGTCACTGATATTTGAATTTGGGAACAATCTGAAATATCAACAAAAACAATTACAACTTCAACTGCTACACTACCTCCTGTACAATGCTCTTGAAAGCTGAAATTTTAAAGGGCTGTTTCTTTGCAGCATGATTAACTTCATGAACACATTCCTATCTTTACATCGTGTTTTTCCTCTGTGTACCGCTAAAATCTCTGCCTTCAGACTCCCAAAGAAAAGTTCCACGTGTTCTTTCCAAACTTGAGAGACAAAATCTTTTTATATCAGACTTGAGATTTTCCTGAAAGGGTACTTGACCCAGTGAAGTTCTATTCAAACCAGGTAGCACCAAGTGGCACAAGTCATCCTGCCCTCTCTTAGTTTGGGAAAATGCAGAACCACATGACCAAGTTTAGTTATAAAAAATTACAACCACTAAGAAACATTAGAACAATTACAGGCTTTAACACTTTTGCATAAAAGGACTTCTAACATAATCATTTTCAACTTTTTGTAACTGGTATTAGGAAAGTATTACCCTCCATCTGTTTTCTCACCATTTTCACCAGTGTCAGAAGCTGATGTGTAGAACAGGTGAACACTAAACAGCTAAAATCAACTGAATCATGGCCTGGCTGATTCCTAACATGTGTTGTGTGGGAGGAATTGCTGTCCCCTGCTCAAACAGAGGGCACTGGAGGAACTGCCTGGCCATTCAAGGTGTTTGTTTGCTTGTCCCAGAGCATTAAAATCCAGAGCAAGAACAAACTGCAGCTGATGTGCACGGCCTTTCCCTGGGAACAGACACTCATTGCTGGCTGTTTCATGAGCTCAACCCACAGTTCTGCTCACAGGGACTGCCTTCCCTACAACCCAGAAGGATCTCTGTGATCAGAGACACAACACCAAGTGTCAGCCAGACTTGCTGCTGCCATAGAAAGGAGCAGTCCTTACAAGAGCTGCCTGATGTTGCTCCAGTCCACACACATGGTTGGCACCTTGGTGCTGCAGTGCTCGTGGAATTTGTAGCCGCACGTCTGACAGCGGAAGCCATTGAGCAGGAACTTCTGGCAGATGTCACAGAAGGCAAGCTTCAGAAATGTCTTCCTGGCCTGGAAAACACAGCCAGGGATTAATCCCAGCTAATTACCTCTTCATCAACTGACATTTGGACAGTCAGAGCCCAAAAGAAATAAATAACCATGGTAAAATGCTGTAAGAGCCCCCAGGTTGCTACTGAGCTTAAAACCACACTCAAATATTCTAGAGTGGATTTCCAGGTTGGTTGGACACCTGGAAAGTCCAGAAACACTGAAGGCTTTATTTACAGAACAAACAAAGAAAGAAAAAGAAAAGAATAAGAGTTCTTTCAAATGCAAAAATGATGTTTTTGCTCAGCAAGGTGACAGAGCTGTGTGAGCCAAGAGCTGAGGGCTGTGTTTGTTTCCAGTAGCACCAAAGAGGTGAAAGAGGATCAGACTGGAAGGCCCAGCTCATTTTTTTTTGTTAGACAAAACTCTTGGTGTTTACAACTAACCAATATCCCTTGCATGAGAAATACATTTCTTAGTAATCAAAATAATAGAAGGAATTTGTACTTATTTAAATGGCAGCCTACTTTGGTTTTATAAAAGCTTCTGGAGTATGAAAAGATTAAAATGAACCAAGGGGTTTCTTCCTCCAGAACCTACTGGAGAGGAGGGTTCCAAATTTTAGCTTCTTCCAGACCTGGAGAAAAATATTCATTTTCTGCTGACCAACTGCAGATGACATTTTCTGTATTTTTTTTTAAATGTAATGCAGCAGTAAAGTGACTCTCAGGTTTTGCAAATCAATCCTAACCTTTCTAATGGATGTAAATGACAATCCTTTAGGACTTAGGATTACCACAATGTATTTCTAGAACAAAACAAGAAAAAAGCTAAAATATGGGAAGAGAGTTCCTTCCCAAGGAGAAGACAATAATACAAGGTAAAACTGTTAGGAGTTGGGCATTATCTCTTCATAAAAAAAAAAAAAAAATTAAAAATTCTTAAAAAACCTACAAAGCACAAAACCACCTTCTACTTATTTGTTTTGTGTGGAATAAATAATCCATTTTTGAGAAGGGACTACAAAGTAAAGCCTTTCATTCCCCCATAGAACACTCTATCAAATTACAAAGCAGCATTAGCTCACAAAATAATGTCATTACCTGCAGAATGAACAGCACAAATAAACATTGGACCATCAGTCCAGTAAAGCTACTGAACTTATCCAGCCTTTTTTGACTGATGACACAGAGAAAATGCAAATTTTCTGCCTTTTCTAGACTTTAAAGACATGGGTATCTTACCACAACAGTTACAGACCCAGGTATTTATGTAAAATAAAAATGGCACTCATCAGACCTGTGAAGAACATGCACAGTGTGAGCTTGGACAGTCTGTGACACCTGGGGATCCCCAGGGGAACCATCACAATTCTGGCATTTCACTGCAAATTGATATTTAGGGAATGGAATTGGTAGGGAACAGGGCTGAAGGAATCAACCCCAACTTCTGAAAATCCCTGTGTCCAGAAAGCCAAAAGCTTTCTAATGGCCAAAACATTCTTTGGCCAAATCTGTGGCTCAACTGATGAAATTCCCAGCAGAATAAAGAAAATCTTACAAAATTGTGAGTGGTGAGTGGGACATGGTCAAGGAAGTCCACTCGCAGCTCCTCTCCAATCAGGGAGGCAGCATCTGTGTTCCAATCCAAACGCACTTTCTTCCTGAAAGAGAAAATGGGGACAACAAAATCACCTTGGAGAGAGGTCTGGCCTCATCAACAATTATGTTTTGTGAGTTTTCTTGAGTAAACTGAGAACAAATAGCCAGAAAAGCATAGCTAACCTCTTACAGTGAGCTGGACAGATTTCAGTGTCTTCCACTCAAAAAATCAGAGGCAACTTGGAATATATTGCAAGTCACCTCTTTTTCTGCTCATTTTTAACATGGTATTTCTTTATAAAATATTTGACATAAAGCACCTGGAAGCTTTAATGGAGTCACAGAAATACCCTTATAAATGTAACAGAAATCATGAGTGACACAAAATCCATTCTTAGGTGCTTGGGCAGGGACTGGTGACCCCAGAATGGCCTCAGCTGCTCAGAGATGTAACCCCACAAATGCCTGAGGCTGCAGGGAGCTTTAATGCCAAGCCTGAGAGGTGTGAAGTGCATTAACTCCATGAGATACCTTCACTCCCTCAGCTTGTAGGACAATCATTTGGTATTTAATAGTAGCATCCCCCAGTCCTACAAATAAATAAGGAGTATCTGAAGTGAGACTGAAATCCAAATATTGGGAAGTTGTAGAGGAATGCAGAGCCTTAAAACTGAGTACACAGAACTGTTCAGGGAAGTGGGCTAAGAATCACTGGCACTGAATTTACCATCTACAAAGGCAGCACAGAAATGCACCTCAAACATGAAGGAAGGCATCACTTCATCTAGAGCATGGCAAAACCCTCACTAAGGGGCTGCAAGCACTTGAGGAAACCCCTCCACTTTAAATATTTTCAATATTTAGCTTTCAAACAAAAATGAAATTGCCAATACACAGAAAGCTGACAGAGTTACCCTAGAAAAAGGCAAAGAAAGCAACACAAAGTGCTCACAACCCAACTGCTTTAAAAGAAATCAGCCAGAGGGGAAGAAAACATCACTGCTGCTATTCCAAACCCAAGATTTTTACACTCCCTGGGAGGAAGTCTCCCTCTTACCCCTTCGGTTCAGCAAGAAGTCGAAACACTGCACAGCACTCTGGCTGCAGCCCCCTGACCTTCAGAGCCTTCATCAGACAGTCATGCAGGGTCATCCCATTCCTCACGTTCACCTGGCAGCAAGGGGAGAACAACAAAGCATTTACACACTGCTGCAGCTCCTTTAGGCTTTTCCAAGAGCATTTTGTCATTTTAAGAAATTCCAGGAAAGCTGCACAAAGTGCACTCCTGCAAAGGACATTCTGAAGGCATTTTATGACTTCTGAGTTTCTATGAAACAGGATTTTACACAAGTAGGCAGCCTACAGAAGGAAGAGAAATGCAGGCAAATGGAGCTACCCCCAGTACAGAAAAAGGTTTAATTTGGATTTCAAGAAACTTTGAGTAAGGCTATTATTAGGGACACTCAGCTCCAAGAAACTGAACAGAAGTGTTCCCTCAACAAGTTTCACTTCAGCTTTAACCCCCACATTTCAAGTGAGGAAAATGACAGAAGTGTCATGCAGGCACCATTGTTTAGGTCATCCAACAATGACCTTTCCATGTGCAATATGCTCATGTGCTTTAGAAAATTCACAGCATTGAGACAGAGCAGTAGAGCTTCTCAAAATACAGATCCAAAAGAAACCACATCCTCTAAAACCAACCAACTGCTGAGCATCACTCAACCCCAGTGAGACCCTTCAGGAGGGCATTTCTGGTGGCAGGAGCAGGGAGTGGGAGCAGGAGAGCAGTGCTGAGCTGCAGGCAGCCCCCACTCACCACGGTGCGCTGCTTGTTGGGCAGGAAGACGCGGATGGTGTTGCAGGTTTTGGACGTATCCGAGATTTTGCCGTCGTCGGACGCGCGGCGCTGGTACCCAAACTGCTGCACCAGGGTGGGGGAGATGCAGTTGGGGCCATCGAAGACAGAATCCTTCAGCCCAAAGCCATTGCTGATGGTCTTCCAAGCTCCCTGGATGTGCTCCATTGGTGCAGCCTAAGGAACATTGGGAGAGTCAGGGAAACAGCCACGTCCTTCCCTCTGGAGCGGGGCTGCCTCCTCCTCCTCACACAGCAAATCTCAGCCTTTTCTAGAAGCATCTGGAGCTGCCCTGCCTGGTGAGGTGATCAAGCTACACTGCAGGTCCAGCTCACCCACAGCTGCACAATCAGCCTGCTCCTGAAAGCATTTCACTTTATACACACAGACAAGCAGCAAGAGATGTGTAACACCTCAGGGACACACAGCACTTCACCAGCAGGGGAATCTACATCATCAGTGCCTGGGGGGCTTTCAGAGAGGTGCCCAGAATATGGAATCAGAATATCCTGAGCTGGAAGGGACCCACAGGATCACCCAGCCCAGCTCCTGGCCCTGCACAGCCACTCCAACAATCCCACCCTGGGATTTAATAGTATAATTAAATCCCACCCCTGGCAGCCTCGGGGCTGTGCCCATTCCCTGGGCAGTGCCCAGCACCCTCTGGGCCAGAACCTTTCCCTGATCTGCACCCTAACCCTCCCTGGTCACCAGAATAAAGAGCTCTGGAGGAGGCCAGCACAACAGTCCTGAAAACCAGATATGCCACACAGGCATTAGCCCAGACTGTTAAGAAAAGAGACTCAAGAGGAATTACAATGAAAAGAATGAATTAAGGAATCTATTTTTATCACTGATTTTCAGGCTTTGGTTATTTAGGTTTTTTTAAATACTATCACAATTTACATAGTGTGAAACAGCAAAAAAATATTTCTCAACCTTCACACCCACTATGCTCAGTTGTGTTTTAGCACAAATAAACCTGGGACAACTGGGATTGTTCAGCCTGAGAAAGAAAAGGCTCCAGGGTGACCCAGCTGAAACCCTGCAGTACCTGAAGGGAGCCAACAAGAAAGATGGAGAGGGATTATTTACAATTAACAGGACACAAGGAATGGCTTCAAACTGGCAGGGAGTAGGTTTAGATGGGATATTGGGAATTAGGAATTGTTCCCTGGGAGGGTGGGCAGGCCCTGGCACATGGTGCCCAGAGCAGCTGGGGCTGCCCTGGATCCCTGGCAGTGCCCAAGGCCAGGATGGACAAGGCTGGGAGCACCTGGGGACAGCGGGAGGTGTCCCTGCCATGGCAGGGGTGGCACTGGATGGGCTTTGAGGTCCCTTTCAACCTAAACCATTTTATGATTTTACAAACATCTCCCAGTGCAAGGACACCAACAACCCTCTCCCTCTGCACACTTCCAAAGCAGCACTCATTTCTGCACATGCAGGGACAAAGGTAAAGGCATCACTGGATTTCTGCCCCAGATATCCCAACTGCAATGCAGCTTGAACTCCAAATTATACTCAAACATCTGATTGAAAATTAGGCAAAAGCAAAGCTGAAATCAAACAACCTGATTGAGAACACCCAACACTGACTGAGCACCTGGCAGCAGCTGCTCAAGTCTCATCTCATGTGTGGTCCTGCACCTCCTTTGCTGCAAATTATTTGAGCCCTCCAATACATTTCCTCATGTTTATGCCAGGGAAAAGGCAGCAGTGTTTGTTTCAGTTGAAGAGTTAAAACAATGGAATTCCTGGATAAAAAAGATCTCCACTAATGTTAAGTGTCCATTCTGGGGTGCCCAGAAGGATAAGCTGACTTTCAGAGTGTTTTCCTTCACAGCACATTTGCAAGTACCTTTGGTGCAGACCTCAAGCCAGATCTGCCCAGCAGCCAGAAAGGAAATGTAACAACAACAACAAAGTTCCAGAGAAAGGTTTGGTTTAGGTGAAGTCATTACCACCAAAGGCAAAGCCCAGAGCAGCAGAACCTCAGCCTCAAAGGGAACTTTCAGCCAGTTCCTGAATATCTCCTCCTGCCAACCCCTGCCACTCCTCAATCCATCAGCTCTGCAGGTCCAGTTGTCCAAAAGTTCCAAATGTTTAAATGTCAGTAAGATTTAAACTCCATGCCCAGTCATCTAACAGGATTGAGATACTTGGATTTTTTTTTCTTTTTCAATCCATGGCACATAAATGACAAGAGTTTTATATTTGATGTAAAAAAGGGAATAAGGAATAGGAAGACACGGAGATATTCTGAAAAATGAGAGATAAAAATGAGGAATACAACCAAGTTCACCACACATCTCACAATTCCTAGGCACCAGAAAGGTGAAAAACAAGTTATGTTCAGTTACAACACCCACATAATGCACATGGCAGCTGAAAGAGTAACTACTGAGATGGCAGCAATAAAAACTGAGATAAACTCTTAGATAAGAGGGGAAAGATGAAACCCAGAGAGCTTCTCTTAACTTAACCCCTATGGCAAACTCCTTTGTTTCACCCTTCCAGCTAACAGATGAAACTAAACAAAAAGAAGAGCCCAGCTTGATTTTTCTGCTGAGCTAAGGAATTGCAGGACAGCCACCAAAATCTCCTTGTCCCTGCTGACAGAAGTTGACAACACCCCAACACTCCAGCCCTTCTATTTAATATTTTGATATGCTGCCAACAGTTCCTGAAAAAATCCAGAGAAAGCAGGAAATGACAAAGAATTCAAACTTGCATTTTGACAAAAGATAAAAATAGCCAAAAAGTGACTTCCCTGCTCTCAGGGCATTGTCTCCCCCAAACCCTGTACACTGAGGCACAGCTACCAGGGAAGATCCCAGCAATGTATTTTAAGGGTGTTGCACACACAGGAAAACACAGACAGCAACTGCTCTCAGCCTCTGTAGACCCAAATGTCAGTTCTACCTTTAATTAGGCATTTGCATCCTTCTCTCCCAGGGTCTTTGCCTCACAAGTGCTGCACAGTGTCAGAACTGGCCATGCCTTGCACAGTCCCCCCTGCCCTGCTCTCTCCTGCCATCACTGGGGTTTGCCACCTCTTTTGGCTGAGGGTTCAGTGCCTGCCAGGCTGGGTTTGCTCCCAAACCATCCCCTTGGAAGTGCAGCAGCTCCCTGCAGGCACAGAGAGCATTCCCATGGCACCAAGTGACCAGCTTGGGGCTGACAGCAGTGACATTAAATGACAGCCCAACCCTGCACAGCCCCAGGTGCTGAGTTCTTTCCCTAGGAAATGGATGTACCACACACACCGTGCTCAGCTCTCCTCCTCCCCAACCTCAGGGTGCTGCTGGGGCACTCAGGAAGAGCCAGCAGCAGGATGAGAACAGAGGTCAGAGCTGGCCTGAAGCTGGCAAAAACCTGCCAAGAGGCCTGGGGGTGGAGGGCCAGGGGAGAGGAAGGGAAGTTTAACAGATCCTCACAGTCTCCTGGGGAGAGACAGGGAATCCCTGCTGGAAAGCTGCTAAACCTGCTCTGGCACCCACTGAACAAGGGCTGGCAGCTGGAAAGGTGGAGCTCCTTGCAGAAACCCAACCTGAGAAACCCAAACTATTCAGAGCCAGCCCCTGAGGGTGCCAGAGGTTCCAGGGCCCCCCAGACACCTCCTGAGCCAGGCCATGAACAGTCTGGTTGAGAACACTGCAACTCTGGCAGAGCATGGGCAGCCAGGTTCACTTCTCAGGCCTTGTTCCAGAGTATTCTCATGGAAGGACAGACAGACAGAAAGCTGCTGCTTAGGAGGTGACTCTGAATGACTTCCACCTTTCTGCTGCCCTCCAGTGCAAAGAAATGTATAAATATCTATACAAACCCATCCCCTTGGAAGTGCAGCAGCTCCTGCAGGCACAGAGAGCATTCCCATGGCACCAAGTGACCAGCTTGGGGCTGACAGCAGTGACATTAAATGACAGCCCAACCCTGCACATCCACACTCATCTGCCTCCCTCAGAACCCTGGATGGGCACAGGGAGAACAGCCCAGGCCACAGGTGTGAGCCCACCTGAGCAGGTAAGTGAAGCACAGCCCACCCTGCAGGGCCCTGGCAGCAGCTTTCTTCCCTTTGGGTAGCTTGCTCCAAGCAGTAAATTCATTAAAGGCATTTTTACTCACTACACTGAGCTCCCCCAGCATCCACGCCAATTCACTCCAGTGAAAAGATGTTTGAAACTCTGTTCTAAAGAGAAATTTAATTTAAAATAAAGGAGGCAAGATTTTACAATGATGCCTTCATAACTATGGTTCTTCTTAGGTTTGTCTCTTCCAGAAAAAAAATTGCTTTTCTCTCTCTTTCAATTAATTACAAGCATATTTCTGACACATAATCATTACCAGATACTGGATTTATGTTTAGGCCATGCTCAAATAATCCACTGCCAGCTGGATGTTTTCATGTATATTTCTAAAAATTCTTTAAATCTTTTCTTCCTGCAGCTCATCACTTTCATGAAAATGACTTCAAACAGCCTTTCTCCAACTGACAAACTGCAACAGCAGCATTCAAAGAATATTTGAAGATATTAAAGAACATCAGTCTTGTGGGAACTCAGCACATCGTTCCCGATGTCCAGAGATGCCAGGAGAACCCTTGGGGGTCTCAGAAATCCTGGAATGTTGCCAAGAGTGTTTGGTGGCTTGATTTTGATCCATCCACAGAAGTGACAGCAGTTTGAGGACATGAGAATCACTTTAGAGTGAAGGGTGTAACAGGGACACATTTATAGGGTGAAATATAAACTTTAAGGTTTTTGGTACAGGGGGGTTATGGAGACAAGATGGAGGGATCAGGGCGTGTCTCGTCCTTCTTCTTTCTTCTTCTTGTCCTCCATCTCCTGTGGTGATGTTGGCACTTGGGGATTGGTTCATGGTGAGGGTGCACTTGCCAACATGGGTGAAAAGTATTGGGAAATAAAGGTAAATATCATGTATGTAGATTTTAGTATAAAAAGACAGGACCGCCCCGTGGGTGGTCAGAGTGCCCTTGGCTGCCTTGCAGGTCAGACCTCTGTTGGGCAGACAGAAAATTCTGTAGATAAGAAACAATAAACAATCTGAAGATGGAAAAGCTGAAGGGTCCAGACTCGTCCTTTGAAACGTGTCCACCCAAGAACCACCCTGCCCGTGTCGGGGCACAGACAGACAGACAGACCTGACACACTCTCCTTGTAGAGCCAGGACTGCTGGGAAACTGATCCTGATGATTTTTCTGCTTAGGCTGAACATTCAATATGAAACCAATGTCATTTACTGCTGCAAGTCCCCCAGGACTTCTGCACACTGTGACCAAGAGTGCACTTTTCATCAGGGCTTTTTGCACACATTACAGATTCTGCTCATGAATCACTGGAACAAGTATTAACCCAAAAGCTCTGGAATGTGCACATCTGACAGCACCAGATTCCTGGAGATCAGTCACTCATACACAATCAATACATTCATGTCATTCATTCCAGCTCAGAAGGTATTGGAAGCTGCTCTGACTTTTCCCATCAGCAGGACAAATTGCTGGTGTGAGCTGTTAAAAGTTTCACCCTCCCTCCCTAGGAAATGCCAAAACTGGCACTGGGTTAGGCTGAAAGTTCACAAGTTACCAAGCTGAGCTCTCACTCCAAAGTTTAGCTACTTTGTCCTTGCTTCTTTCTGGAACAAGCACCCAAAGTTGTTTTTGAAAACAAGTCAAAACAGTTCCCCCTGCCAGCACACAGGCACTGCCATTTTTATCCCCACAAATTCCTGGAATTTTGTGTTTCATGGAATACACCTACAAACACAGACCAGCACAGAACAAAGTCCAGAATCCACTTCAAACTGAACACTTTTATCAGTAAATAGAAGCTTGAAAAGCTGCTTAGAAACAAAGTTTTCATCTCTGGCACAAAAAGATCAATGATCCATTGAACTGTGGCTTTTTCTTCTCCCATACAGTAATTAATTGATCTAATATTGCTTGGGTGACCAATTATCTGGGAGAAAACCAGAAATTCAAACCAGACAAATCTCTGTTGTGATCTATAGCAGCATTTTTTAAAAGCAGCTTTTCAGAGCAGTAGAGGATAAATATGGACCCATTCCTATATGAATAAAAAAAGCTGTGATCTATGGAAATATGAATGCAGGGAATGAGCTGGGATCAGTGCAACAACCCAGGCCAGATCCCTCTCACATCTACAAGGTTGGTGCTTTTCCTTCATGTGCCCTTCATTTTAAGAGATCAATGCCAAAAAACAAATTCCTCCCTTAGACAACTGACAGAAATTAAAAATTAACAGAAGGAAATGTCAATGTTCAGGGAAAAAAACCAAACAACAAAAACCAAGAGAAACACATACAATTTCTGCCTCTGCTGTTCTGATCTTGGAAGTATCTTTTCTGCTCTTTATTTATTAGAAATATTCTGCTTTTAGTCACTACTTCAACCTTCAGGAAAAAAAAAGTAACACTGGTTTTCCAACAAGGGGGCCCTAGAGTAAGGAGGACACAAGCAATACAACCTGCTTTCAGATTTATTCATTTATTATTCATTCGAGATCAGTATCTGTTTGGATTTAAAAGCTGCTGTCAGATAAAAACTCTGGCTAGTAAGCACAGCCCCAGTGAGACTGCCTGGCTGCAGCACCTGTACTTTGGGCTCTGCTGAGCAGGAGTTGCTCACCAGAACAATCTGCACCTTTGGCCACCCTGTGCCTGCTCTCTGTTGGCTCTCACAGCTCAGGGCCACTTTTCCCAGGCAGACCCCAGAAGATCTGTTTGGTTTGTCCTTTCCACACAGATCATTCCCATGTTAGTCACCCATTTTTTTCCCACATGATTATTTCTATGAAATTCAAATGTGGAGCTCTGATTTTTCCTACAAAACCACAATTCCTACATTAGAGAAACAGGAGCACTGAAGACCCTGCATCTAAAAGAGGGATACAGAATCCAAAGCTTTGCCTTTCCCAAAGCAAAAAAGCAATCCCAGGTAAAAAGTTAAATGCAGCAGGTGTTTCTAATCAGTCAGAGTGTTTTGAAATTGGATTTAAGTACAGCTGCAGAGTTTATATAGATTCACAAATCAGTTGATGGAATTGCTATTGAAACAGCAGGAAAGGAAAAAGCAAGCAAAGTGCTCATAGATTTTGTACAAGTTTCCCTTACAAAGCACCAGAACTCTGTCATCAAATAAAATTTCCACTTTTCTTTCTAGTATAATGTTCCATAATCTTTCATCTCATCTGCTTTATTACTATTAAAGCTGAAGTGATATTTAAGTCGTGCTCCTTTTTGAATTCAGTAAACTCAAACTCATTACCAGAAACAAAAAGCACTGAACACTGCTCTTTATAGCTGCTGGTACCAAAATCACATTATGTGACAGTCCTGCCACTCACATTCTTCTTTCTGTGCCATAATGTTGAATTCTGTCAAATTCTCCAAAGGGAGATCCACAGAGAGATCTCTTCTGCAGACAGAAGTGGGACTCCAAGTGTTCTGTCTTTCTTTACATGGTCAAAACCCTGGAGGAGCCTTTTTTCTCCCCAAATCTCTCAATCAAGTGCACATACCTTCCCAGCCATGTGCCCATTTGCATTCTGCACTTGCTCATGCCAATTGTTCCCAGTCTGAAAGCCCCAAACTGTGTTTGCAGTTGCCTGGAACTCATCCACTTTACAGCAAGGATGAAAAAAAGTTACTCAAATGTCAGCAATCCACCAAATGCCCTTCCCACACGAGTTCTCAAGGATTAAACAAAAAAGTGACTGAGAACCTCAGCACAAAGAATGCCTGGCTCTGTCCTCCCTCAGCCACATGGAGGAAATGCAGCAGCACTGAGAACAGCCCAGCCTGAGAGCCTGAGGATTATTAAAGAAGGTGCTGGGAGCTCACATCTCACTGCACAGAGACCTGCAAGGTGCTGTTCACCAGCCCTGCACAGCACAGGCAAGGCTGAATGCATGAAATGAATTAAAATCTGTACATCCAGCCTGGCCAGGTGCTCCCTGCTTTCACTGCAGCCAGTAAATGGATGTGATGAAATGTGGGCTCTGTGCCAGCCCTGCAGTGCCACGTGGAGGTCAATAATGGCATTCCAAGAGCTTGGAAACATCACCCAGACGGGCACAGGGCAGGGCACAGGGACACAGCACCTGGAGAGATCCTCTGGAGATGAACAAAGGGCTCTCCCTCATATTTTAGAACAAGAGGCAACTGGGAACAGCTGGACTTCTCCTTCTTTATTTTCATGGTTTGCATGCACCTGTACTTGCCAAGAAACCTGAATGAAATGGCAAATAACAACAGAATGTACTTAAAAATTTAAGACTGTATACAAGAAAAAATACTTAAGACTATGTCAAACATCTACTGTCCTGAGAGCCTCCAAAAGAAATTATACTCCATTTTAACATTATCTTATTAAATACACCCATGAAATTACAGTTCTGGTTTGGGTGGGTTTTTATTTACTTAACAAAGTGCCATAGCAGCCTTTTTGTTTCAGAGATAGAGTTTGAAGATAATGCCACAGACAGATTTACATTAGGGCTGGATTAGTCCCAACAGACCTGCACTTGTGTGGAAAGGCAAATGCTGTTTGGAAAAGACAGGCAAATATCAAGAGCTGAAGTTCTAAACTGAGGAAGGGCTTTTCCCCTGCAAAGTAAATATCCAGGGAGACTGACTCAAGCAAGAGCTAAGTTAAATACACACTTCTGATAAAGCAAATCCTGTAACAACTGCAGCTCCAGATGGATTCTGGGGCATTTTTCAAAAAACAAAAAGTGGATTTGAGCAGCAGTGCAAGAATCCAAGCACAGAGGGGCTGAGCTGAGTTTCCCCCCCTGAAGGGAAGGTTCAGGAATCTCCAAAGAAAGGAAGGGGCAGGAGAAGGAGGAAGGGAAAGATGACAAGAGAAAGTTATTTGTACCTTTAGTTTTCCTTTCAGCAAATGAAGTCCTATGACAAAAGGATGAAGCACATCATCTGTGAAAGACAAAAAACCAGAAGATATTTCCATTTTAAAAGACAAACATATACATGCACTACATACCAAATAAATAACAAAAAAATGCCAGCAATGATAAATGATCATCCTTCTGCTTTCAGAGTTTTCAGGGTCTGCCAGCCTTTATTTCATGCAGCATTTCAGTGTAAGGAGACACAGAGTGCACAACCACCAAATGTTACCCAGCTCAAAAGCATTTCATTCTTCTTCCAGAACATCAGAAAAAAATCTTTTAGCTAAAAAATCTTCAGCTAAAAACTCGCTGAAGTAAAAATTAAACAGGGTTGAACAGTCCCTTCTCAGACGTCAGCTCCTCACTCAGACAAACACCTTGCTGACTCACAGATGTTGACAAATCTTGGAGACAAAACAAACAAACAGTAATAAGCAGCCAAGCCTCTGAAGGCTCTCTGTATCTTGCATAAAGCAGCAACTGTAAAAGGGAGAATTCCTAGGGAAGCTGAAGAAATCTTGATGGGATCATCCCCACACCAAGGTTTCTCTTCTCCAGACCAAGACTCCTCATGTCTTTCTAAAAAAATGCAATAAAAAAATCAACAAGAGATTTTATATTGGCAGCTCACTTCTGGTTACAGGTATCCTCTCTTCTGGACAGAGCAGATGGGGAAAAAACTCAAATGGATAAATAAAAAGAAGCTGCAATGATTTTACCAAACCAGCAAACTCTCAAAGATTAACAAGAAACCAGATCAATGCTCTGGGACCTCCACCTTGAGCCATGTTCAGTCATTTTCAAAGTGGAATCTACTGACACCCTGAACTGTGGATTGACCCTGCTTCCACCTAGCACAGCTGTCTCCAACAAACATTAAGGAATGTGGCACATAAAATACTGTAAATATGCTTTCCATCATGGAAAAAGATAAGCAGGGAGACTGGGGACAAGGAAGGAATTCAGGTTTTCTCACACCAGAGGAAAAGATGGGATCTTTAGTTATAACCAAATACAAGAGATGGCAGTGAGTCACTAAAATGGAGAATGTTACATGAAAAAAAAAAGGAGAGAAAACTGATGGGGAAATTTCATTTACAGAATGAAAACCCAAAGCATTTTTACAGTAAAATCTGTAAGAAGAAAAAGAAATCTCATGCATAAATCAAGAAGAGACAGCACAGCATAAAACAAGTGTGATAGGCTGAAGAAGCAGGTGCAGTATTTCTATCTGCCACCACAGCAAGAAGACAGGAAAAATTACTTTTTTTTTCATGACAGATAAAGAGACACATGACAAAAAATCAGTAAGAACATCTGCTAGCAGAACTGGCAAACACCAGGGTTTAAGGAATGAGAGTTGCCAAAAAGCCCAGTTTACTGCAGATGTGAGAGTCAATGGAACCTGGCTGGAATTGCTCAATGAGACAAAGGCAGAGCAGAGGGAGAGGACAACCCCTGTGTCCTGCAGGATTTCCACCTGAGCTGCTCTGAGGAGCAAGGCCAGCACACAAATTCATCACTCAAACCCTTGCCTTGGAAAGACTCTGCCCCAAACCTACTCCTAAAGGCACAAAGAGCCAGCACAAAAGCTTGAGGTTTGGGTTTCAGTGGTGTCAGTCACTCCTAACTATGGATTGATGGTTTTAGAAAATACACCTTGTATTTGGGGTAAGGAAATCCCAAATGTCAGACATTTCAGCAAGCACACATCTCCACTGGATACCTGTGCCACTGGACCCCCCTGGCTCACTATCAGGGCATTCTTGCTGTTTGCTCCTCTTTCCACCACAATATTACAGCATTTTGTCACTGGAAGTGCTGGTAATTTACTCCCAGAAAAAAAGAAATGTTAATTTCCTATAGTGTGCAAGAATACAGAATAAAATTTAGTCAACATCAGCCTGGCCTTTTAGAAATTAAGACAAAAACTTCATAACTCCACTGATTCCTGGGCTACACTGTTAATCCCCATCTTTAAAACTCACACTGCCTGTTCAAAGTCTCCACATGAGAAATTGAGAAAGAGAAAATAATCAATATACAAAGGAACCCAAAATTTAAAGAAAAACTCTGCCAGACATAAAATATGCAAAAAACCCTGAAAGAATCTCTTGTAGTCACAGTTTTGTGCTGAGAAAAGAAAAATATTTTTCAGTGTAAGACAGTTTTTATGTCCATCTGCCCAATTTTACTGAACATTTTCTTCACTTTGTAACAGAAAACGATTCCAGGTAGTGTCCTGTAATTCAACATCACAAGGGCAGATCTTACTGGAATAGGTAAAAATAGCAGCAGGGAGCATGCCAAAGGACAGTCTTTCCACTACAGGGGCAGTGCTTACATTGCAACATCAGCTGGCTCTCTTTTTATAACCTCACCATTGCAGTGAGCCGGTCCCACAGGCAACCCAAAAGGCTGCAGAAATCCCAGAGGAAGCTGGGGCTGTTTCTGAGCTGCAATCAATGCCCTGCACCAGCGGGAGCCCACGGCTCTGCTGCAGCACTGCTCCTGCCTGTGGCAGCTTTCCACCTGCTCCAAAGCACCCAGCACACACCTAGGGCTGATGTCACTCACAATTCAGTGCATTCCTTGTCAAATGTCAGCATCAAATTAGAGCCTGGCACACTCTGGTGCTCCTTTAGGCTGCAGCACACTGGAAGCTCCCTAATTTACTGCATTCTCTGGCAGCCCCAGACCCACCCCCTGCAGAACTCCTGTTATCCCATTTCTGCAGCCTGGCACAAGCCCTCCCCAGCCCTGAACCCTCCGTGGGTTTTTGCCACGTTTCCACACAGAGATAAGAAGCAGCCCAAGCTGAGCACTGCAGCTGTGAGGCCAGGGATCAAACAAAGGCAGAAATGCTGTTTTACCAGCACAGACTCTGCTCCCCAGCCAGCAGCTTGGCTTGCAGGTGACCAAAAGTGCTTAGCTTTCTAATTAGGCACCAGGGAGAGCTGCACCCTCCCATCCCAGCACCACAAACAGGTTCCTGCCTGCTCCTCCTCCACAGCACGATTGATTGGACACAGCTCCCCAGAGCCACTGGAGGCACAGTGAGAGCAAAGCCTGGGAAAAGCAGGGAGTCACTGAGCTGGCACGGGTGCTCTCACACTTTTCTGCCTCAATTAAAGAAAAACTGACTGATCATCAGTAAATTCACCTCTGCTGAAACCTGCAAGCCCTGGAATAATCAGAGATGTTTGTTGTTTGCACACAGTAGCCCCAGCACTGTGTCCTTGTTTTAAAAACTAAGCATCAGCCTCGTGCAAAATCAAGAGTAAAGAGAGTTTAGACATTTCTGCCATACTTTGAATGCATGAATTTTATAGTGCAAGTTTCACAAAAAAAAAAACAAACCCAAACACATCAAATTACAACACAAATACACAAGAAATGAAAAATATTTTAATGGGGTTATGCAATAGATTGGACCTGAAGGAATTCAATTGCTATCAGAAATCATCAAAATAAGGAAAATATTAACCCAACAGCAGCCTTAGAATTAACAATTACCAGGTAAGTTCTGAACTTCAAGAATTGAAAGAAAATGTCTTCTTGCCTGTGAAGGTGGAGTCACATCCTGTGCCAACTTTCAGAGAAACTTTAGAACAAAGTTTCTAAGTAAAGTTTAAACAACCCTAAGTTCCCATGTATCAAAATTCACCTTTCCAAGTGAAAGCAGCACAGGCAATTACAGGCACTCTTACCTCCACATTAAGCGGAATTAAAATCCACTTTACTTTCTCTTTTACAAGAAACTTTTAATAGTGTACTTTCTATGGTAATGATTTGGAAACAATATAAATAGCATTTTTTGGGTAGCAATAAATTAGGAATTTAAAAAAAAATTAAAGTATGATTAACCAGTATTTTTTCTTCCCAGCAACACTTCCAGTCTAATGGTCTTCCCTACAACTGCTCTGCTTTGCAGGATTCTCTCTCTGTGCTCCATTTCTGCAACAATTCCACACAAACAAAAGGGAGTACACACATCTGCACCTCCCCACCACAGTCCTTCAGTTTCACCAAAAAATTCTTACATAAAATCTCAAGTTTATTATACACAAATAACATCTGAATAAAGAAAAAACAATGATCATTTAGTCATCTCTGCCACAGGTAGCAAGTGAGTAAAGAGAACAGTGCTAATGTGGTGTGCTGATAGACTGAAACACCACTATAAAATACTGAAAGTATGACCAGACTTTGAGCAAACACACTTAAATGGCTGAGAACAAGAAAAAGGAATATGCAAAAACCAGCAGAAATTACTGCTAGAGCTGACAGGGACATACACTGGAAGCAGACTAAAAGACATTAGAGAAAAAGGAAAATTGGCCATATTTAAAATATGAACTATTTCAATAAATTATAATATTTAAAATATTAAAAGAATAATGGTTAAATTATTTCAATAGAATATCTTAAATGTTTTCCCTTATGAAAGCATTGGAGACATCTTTCTTCTAGTTCTGCACTACCCTGAACCCCCCTCTTGGGTAATCTGTCAACTCAGGGTTCCAAAAATCCCCACTTTCAGAACTCCAGCTGGTTCTACGGTGACATTTATGTAACAGAAAACTCTGCTGGGGGCCCAGAGCCATTTCTTAGCGCCTGAACCTCTGAGGCAGCTTTAATTAGTGCAGTTAACCCACGGCACACCCAGGGGCGAGCTGGGGAAGCAAGCTCCTGTCTCTGAACTAAAAATACCCAATGGCTCATTGGCACAGCGATCCTGGCTGCCCCTGGGAACGGCCCGGCCTCCAAAACCCCCGTGGCAGCTGCTCCACAACCGAGGGAAAGCACGACAGGTACAAACCGAGCTGAACCTGAGGGAAAACTGTGACCCAGGGACAGGCACAGCACAGGGGGAGAGGCTGAGAGCCACAACTGCAAGGGGGGAACCCACGGCAGGTACAAACCGAGCTGAACCTGAGGGAAAACTGCAGCGCCCGCTGATCCAGGCACAGCACAGAGGGAGAGGCTGAGAGCCACAACTGCAAGGGGAAACCATGGCAGGTA